TGAGTTAAAGTGGCTTGTATTTTTCAAGGAAGTAGTTTATTTAAGTTGTCAAATTTATGTGTGTCGTATTCCCTTACTACTCTTTTGATGTTTTCAGGGTCTACAATGATAGGTCCTGTTTTATTCCTGATATTAGTGATTTGAGCCTTGTTTCTTCCTTCCTTCTTTCCCACTCTTTTTTCCTTTCTTCCTTTCTTGTCAGACTTCCTAGAGATTTGCCAATTTTATGTATCTTTTCAAAGAACCAGTTTTTGCTTTTTATTTTCCATATTTAATTTCATTGACTTCTGCTCTTACCTTTATTATTTCCTTCCTTTTGTTTACTTTGGATTTATTCTTGCTCTGCTTTTTTTGGGTTTTGGAGGTGAAAGCTTGCATTTTAGACTACTCTGTTTTCTGAATGTAAGCATTTAGTGTATAATTTCCCTCTAAGCACTGTTTTAACTGTGTTCCACAAATTTTAATATATTGTATTTTTTTCTGTTCCATGTACTTTTTGATTTCTCTTGAGACCTCTCTTTGACCCACAGATTATTTAGAAGCATGTCATTTAGTTTGAATATATCCCTGGTAACATTTTGTTATTGATTTCCAGTTTGATTCCATTGTGGTTAAAAAACACACTCTGTATGATTTCAAATCTTCTACATTTGTTAAGGTTTATGGTCTATCTTGCTATATTTTCTGTGGGTTCTTGAAAAGAATGTGTGTAGTCCTACTTTCGTAGAAGAAAAAAAATGTGTGCAGTGTTCTATAAATGTCAATTCGATCCTATTGGCTGTTGTTAAGTTCTTCTATACCCTTGCTGGTTTTCTGCCTAGTTGTAGTATCAGTTGTTGAGAGATGCTGCAGTCTCCACATATAATTGTGGATTTGTTATTTCTAATTTCAGTTCTGTCAGTTTTTGCTTCACATATTTTGCAGCTGTTGTTTGGTACATAAAGATTTCTCGTTTGATACTCTCATCATTATATAATGTCCCTCTTTGTCTCATAATTTTCTTTGCTCTGAAGTCCACTTTATCTGATGATATAGCCACTCCTGTTTTCTGTTTACTAATGTTTTAATGATTAATCTTTTCTATCATTTTACTTTCAATATTTTGAGCAAAAGACTGCCTAATTTCCTTTGTCTGAAGTTCCTTTTAATAAATGAGATAAGAACTAAATAAAAATCTCTAATTTCTTAATTGAAGTTTTGTAGTTTATTCTTTCAAAAATGTTTCTAAGATGGTGGATAAAATTTTAACTTTGGATCATAATATTTGAGTTCCTAGGAATACTTTACCTACAACCAGTCCAACAAAAAAGAAATTATTTTTTCATGAGCAGGAAGAAATGCAGAGAAAACCTGAAAAACTTTGACTACATAAACATATGTGTACATACCAAGCAGCTATAAAGTCTCCCACTATTTAGTTGGTGACTAAATATGAGGGGAATTAAGGGAATATATCCTTACCTATTTAACAGTACAGTTGTTGTTTCTCTTTAACTGAAATCTCTATACACTGACAAATGACCTATGTGGGAGAACTCTAAAAAAGATACATACAAGGTGTAAACATTGGTATCCAGTGTTGGAAATACCCATTCTTAGATACAAAGTGAATATGGTTTTATTGTCTTGCAGTAATCAGACTTTATTTTCTTAGGCTTTGACAAAAGAAGTTGCAACAAAGAGAGGTGCTGCATTTCTTCTTTGTCCTTGAGAAAACATTAACTCCTTTCTGTTACCATTCAAGGACACAATGCTGAGAGAGCCCTGGCTCTTTGGCACATTTTTGTCCTCTGGCAACATCTCTTTGTTCCATTGTCTTTCTGTACTGTACATGCTGTTCTAGCACATTAAATCTAACAGAGGAAATTTTAGGTGTAAACTGTGTATATACATATTGGAGATAGAATACTAACATTTTTTACACTGTAGCATTCTGTTGCTGGGAACATGGCTAAAGCTCTAATCCTTTCTGGTGTTTTCTTGGTACCAAACCCCTTACCCTCCTTCTTCTTTGGTTCCTCCTTTCAATTAGACTCTGAACCTTAGGCTTATGATTCTCAAGGATAAGACTATCTGACACTTGAACGCAGAGCTCACTATATGTCAGGCACTGTATCATGCACCTTGTACTGTCTCATTTAATTTTATGACATCATAGTAAGAATATTATCTCAAAATAAAGCTAGGATAATATAATAATAAAAAGATGAGAAAACTGATTTCAAAGAGGTTAGATAACTTGTCTGCATTCACACAGCTACTAAGTTTTAGAGCCTGCACTGGAATCTAGGCTTGCCTGCTCCCCAACCCACTCTTTTACCAACACATGAATTCCGTATTTTGTGATCACTTCAACAACTAGCTGCTAGATTTAGCCTTTTAGCAGGATTTTGTGATTTGGCCACCACATTAGTACTGCTATCTGCCTGAGGAACACAGCTAATGTCCCTGTAGCTGTTTCTAGGCTTCCTGTCTTTTCTGTAGCTCTTCTCTGCTTTTCCTTTCTGGTTCTAAACTCTGCCAAAAATCTTTTTCTCTATCACTCATGCTAGATAACTGAGTCCGAACATTCTGTGTCCTCTTTCTAGTTTCTATCTTTTCTCTATAATTTCCCCCCAAATATAACACAGCTTTCATATGATCATATGAGAAACTCACATATAAATGCACATGTTAAAAGACAATCACCATTTTTGATGCAATTTTTATTTATTTATGTGTATTGTTTTCCTTGCTATTTATTGCTTTAAATAGTTATCAGACTTAAGATCCTTCCATTTATATACCTACGTATAACTTTAGGGTTTCCAGACCAAGACCCAAGATTTCTACCTAAGACTATAAAAAGTGAAGAAATATTTTGAGTACTAAAGTAATGTTTTAGTCTATTTAATGTAAATACAAAAAATTATTCATCAAGCATTTATTACGTGTCAGGTTCCACCCTAGATGCTACTTTCTTACCCTTCCACATAATTTTTTTTTTCAGTGAAAGAACATTTTTTAAAATTAAAAATAAGTTTTCTAAAAATGGGGAGATGTTGGTCAAAGGATACAAAGTTTTGGTTATACAGGATGAATAATTTCTGGAGATGTAATGTACAGCATGGTAACTATTGCTAATAATACTGTTTGCATAGTTGAAATTTGTTGAGAGTAAATTTTAAATATTCTCACCATGCTGGCAGGCAGTAAATATAAGAGATGATGGATATGCTTATTAGCTTGATTGTGGTAATCATTTCACAACGTGTTTACATATCAAAACATCACAGTGTATGCCTTATATAAAATTTTTGTCAATTATACCTTAGCAAAGCTGAAATTTTTTAAAAAAAAGTTTTCTTAATAATAGGCAAATTCAGCAGTCTGTCACAGTGGCTGTCATCTGTAATCCCATCACTTTGAGAGACTGAGGCAGGTAGATGGCTTGAGCCCTAACTGTTGTTCAGGACTAGTATAGGCAACATGGCAATCCCTGTCTACACACAACAAATACAAAAATGAGCTGGGCGTGGTGGCATGCACCTGCAGTCCCAGATACTTGAGAGGCTGAGGTGGGAGAATTGCTGGACCCCAGAGGCTGAGGCTGCAGTGACTCATGATTGTGACACTGCACAGCAGCCTACGAGACAAAGCAAGCTGCTGTCATAAAAAAAAAAAAAAAAGGGCAAATTCATTTTATACAAATGAAAAACATGCAGTCAGGCAAAAAATAATTAGGAAATACCAGCAACAATCACTTTGAATACTTTTGTAAATATGCTTCCAACTTTTACCTACATTTTTGAACTGTTAAAAATTTTTTTTCAGTTAACACTTTATAAATTAACATTCTTCGGGGCTGGGTGTGGTGGCTCACGCCTGTAATCCCAGCACTTTGGGAGGTCTAGGGGAGCAGATTACTTGAGACCAGGAGTTTGAGACTAGCCTGGCCAACACAGCAAAACCCTGTCTCTACTGAAAATACAAAAATTAGCCGGGCATGGTGGTGCACACCTGTAATTCCAGCTACTACGGAGGCTAAGTCATGGGAATCCTTTGAACCCGGGAGTTGGAGATTGCAGTGAGCCGAGATCACACCACTGCACTCCAGCCTGGGCGACAGAGAAATTCTGCCTCAAAACAAAACAAAACAAAACAACCATTATTCTACATTAACGGTTGTTAAAGGTTAATAGTTCATTTTCTGGGTGTACGATAGTTTTAAAGACGTAACTTTTAATACTGGATTCAGCCTACTGCTGTTAGCTTTTTGCAGTTACATATGAAGAGTATGATGAACATCATTGTAGGTATTTATCTTTGCACATATCCTTAGACATTTCCTTACAGTCTAAGAACTAGCATTTCTAGTGGAGTGGGGACATTTTTCCAGATGTCAATTAAAAAATTATTCCATTAGTTAAAAAATTTGCAGGCTATATATTCAAAGGAGATCCCTTTTGTTTGGAATTCAACATAACCAGTTAGCTCAAACCTCAACTCTTGAAAAATGTGCCTCCTTTATTCAACAAACATTTATAGAATACTGGATATGACGAATAAAAAAAGATAAATAAGACCCTGTGCTGGGCAGATAATCTACTGTAGTATGCAGATTTGTTATCAAATAGACTACAATGTATTTAAATTTTGCAGGAGATGAATGCACAAGGCCCTTAAACTACATTGAAGGCTGCCTAAGGCAGTATACAAAATTAGTGCTGAACACTTGAGAAAGTGCGTTTTAATTTTAATGTTTGATGCTTGAGGAAAAGATTACATCATACCACCTATCTTCCCCACATACTATTTGTGTTTCTCACTTACATGGTAGTGTGCATGTTATTTGCTTACCTTTAGCATATAAATTCAGAAGAAATAGCATTTAACTCTGTGCTTAAAGAGGATATTTAGAAATAACTGACGCAGCTAACATGAGAAGGCAAAAAAAACAAAACAAAAACCAAAAAAGAAAAAACTAACGGACTTTTTTTTTTTTTTTTTTTTTTTAACAAAACAGTGAGACGTCACTTGGGGTAACCATAACGTCGTCAAGGCTGTGGCGTCACGCCTCTAAGCGGATACGGCAGAAGTTTTGGGGTCAGACACAAGACTTCCAAGTTTGAATGGGCAGCGCAAAACTCAGGTAAGTTTTCCAGTAGTGCCGCCGATCCCAGCCAGGCCCGGAAGACACAACGAGAACCGTGAGCCGTTACGAAAGCCTAAAACACTGAGCTCGCGTCCTGCCAGACAGCAGACGCACAAACCTACGCCTCCGAGCGCTCCCTCGAGGTCCCGCCTACTCTTCTCTCCCGAGCCCGCTAGAGGTCTGGAGGAGGAGGGGCCAAGGGTGAGGAGGAGGGGCCAAGGGTAAGGAGGACAGTATGAGCATGCGCACTCAGTACCCAGTCAGTGAACCAATAAGGAATCTCGCGAGGGTTGAAAGTCGGTGGCGTAGGTAGTCGTCCTGGATGCTGGCGAGATAGACGATATCTGCCAGAGGAAGAGGAGGAGGAGGCGGCGAAGCGTTTTCCCAGCCTCAGTCTCTGTTTCGTTTTCCTTTTCCCTTCCCCCAACCCTCCGCCCTTCTCTAAATCAGCCCGCCTTCCTTGACCTCAGTGACCCGTCTGGCCCCGCCCATCCTCGTCGACGTGATTCCCGCCGTGAGGTAAGCGCCGGTGGAACCTAGAGCCCCGCGGAAGAGCAGAACGTCTGGGAGTGTGCAGCTCCTGGGCCCGGCTCAGGCCCGTCGCGGAGGCGCGGCGCGGGGGAGCGCTCGGGTGGGAGTCTCGCTCCTCCACCAGTTTATTGCGACGTAGCCACCCGGGCCTAGGCCTCCCCGTCCATCCCCGCCGGACTCGGCCTCTGGCAGCAGCGGGTGACGCAGACGGAACATCATGTCGTCCGCGGCCGAGCCTCCGCCACCCCCGCCTCCCGAGAGCGCGCCTTCCAAGCCCGCAGCCTCGACCGCCAGCGGCGGGAGCAACAGCAGCAACAAAGGCGGCCCCGAGGGCGTCGCTGCGCAGGCGGTTGCGTCTGCGGCCAGCGCGGGTCCCGCAGACGCCGAGATGGAGGTGAGGGCAGCTTGCGGCGTGGGGAGCGGGCGCAGCGGGGAGGAGGAGCTGGCTCCCTCGCCGGATCGTGGCGATCGGACGCAGAGCCGGGCTTCTCTCTCTGCACCAGACTCAGCTTCACACCCTGTGGATACGAAATGATGCTCTCACCCTTGCTCCCTTGTTCTTAACCTACTGGAGCCAAGCAAAATGGATTTCCGGCTCCTCACGTTGAAATTATTTGTCTCTTTCGTGAATCTTGACAAATCTTTGAATGCTCTCAATGAACAGATGTTCTTGGTTACCGTGGCCCAGGGGGACCCATCTTTTTTTCGCACTAGACTCCCATAATTCCCTCTCCTACCTCTGAATGTGGTTTTTAGTTTCCACCAAACTTCGGGGAAGGGCGAGGAGATGACCCCTTAGGAGCGGGATGCACGGGCAGGGTGAAGGAGGCATTTAAAAGCAGCGCGTCCGAGGACTTGGGCCTCTTTTTCTTCTTCCCGGTCCTTGCGGGGGCGGTATCTGTTCTGGGCAGAAACAATGGCGAGAGCTGGATGGCCGAGTGCGCAGTGGGGATAAGCGGGGCGCAGCTGCTTCTGTGAAGGGAGAGGAAGCCCCTCCCAGGCACTGTTCCACTGGAAGGGAAGCAACCAAGGCAGCAGCAGCTGTCTCGGATCCCCCATCGAATTTAGGGGGGATGAGTAAGTGTAGGAATGAATTAGAGAACCAGGCGCAGTTGATTGGCTCTCAGTCCGGCACTTTTTCTCTTTTTGGCCTCTCGCCTTAAAAAAAAAAAAAAAATTAGTACCACTCGGCTCCCGAGACTTCTGGGTTTGGGTTGTCCAGAGGATGCTGACGGTACTGAGGGGGCTGGAAAGATGGGGAAGCTGCCAGGCGGGTAAATTGGATATGCCTCCAGGCTTTGCAATATCTGGGGAAAAAGTAATTGCTCCTTCCAATTGTTATTCTTGGCCTTCGACCTGTTTTGAAATATTTTGTAAGTCGGAGCCCAAAGATTTCTGGGATTTTCCTATCCTTAGAATGAAGGTAATACTGCTCCGAAGATGAGTCTTGACGCACAATCGTTGTACAAGTGGGGAAATGGGAGCGTAGTTTACCATTGAGGCATTTGGCACAGTAGTTTTATTTGGGTAGCTGGGGTTAGGTAACATTAATGTTAGTAATCTTTTAAAGAACTTTTAGTGTGAGGGTAGGTTTAGTGACATAGGAACTCCTGATGGTTCCTGTAGTTTTGAGTGATTAGGATAAGATTTCTTTCAAATTAAAATATATTCAGTGTTGCCTGTTTTCCCCTTAAGGAAATGGTTCTTTTGGGTTACCAGGGCTCTTTAACTTGAATTCCGGTTCCAAGGCTTAAGGGGTTTGACACAAAGCAATTGTGTGTAAATGTGCAGTTCTGGACAAAAATCTGTTCATAGTTATCCTCAGCCTCTCAAAGGGGGGTCTGCCATCCAAACTTTGGAAAAATAAATTTTCACCAGAGGTCTTGTTAATATCTGAACACAGTAATTTTAAGCCAAAAGCAAGTCAACTTTTTTGACTTGAAGTTGTTATTTTAAATGAAAATTGATTTTAAGTTTAAATATGAGTATAGATGATGTCACTACCGTATTAAATTAGTGATATTTTCATTTGCCAGATGGGGAATTTGAGTTCTGCTAGGTAGAACCTGTGATAAAACTCAGGTCTGCCTTTAAAAGTGAGTCTTTTCCCACCCATCTTACTCTGCCGTGTTCTTACCAAAAAAACGTATTTGGCAGTTCAATTTATTGAATAACATAGTTATTTTTACCTTCCTAGTATAGAAATATTAGGAATTTTATTTTTTATCCATCTTATCACTGACTCATTTTGTTGTTGTTGTTGTTGTTGACAGTGTGATTTTTTTTGTCTTAAAATGCACCGTCAGTTTCCTGTTCAGAATCACTGCAATTCATGATCAAAACTAAGTTTGAGCACACATGCCTAATATATGTCACAACTTAATCTGTTTTGCACTTGGAAAATGAATATTTTATAAATGACTTTTTCTTGTTTGGAAGTATGATCTAAGGTGTTTTTCTAAAATCACAGAATAAACTCAGCATTCATGAATTTTGTGTGTGTGTGTGTGTGTGTGTGTGTGTGTGTGTGTGTGGCAAAGCTGATTTTCCCAGAAATAGCCTCCCTATGTATTCAGTTACTTTTTTTCTTTTTGCATGATACTAACAGGTCAATGGAGCAACTTGTTTTTTAGTTATCCTTTTGGCAATGTGGAACTCTTCTGTGTTCATCCTCATCTTTATTGACTAGATTGATATGCCAATAATGATGATGTCAAACCTGGAAGTCAGGTTTTTTGTTTTTTTTTTTTTAAACTGTGGAAGAAATAATGACTACCGTTGGAAAGCACATTTTATTTTTGTAGGTTGCATTTCATGACATTTTGGAATTTTGTAAACGACTGGGTAGGTGGCTTTGTCACTTATATATGGAGACCAGAGATTTATGAAGAGCATAGGGTCACACAAGTGCCAAGGGTCTTAACAATGAAGTTAGACTTCACTTAAGGTCATTTTACCTTTTATTCCAGTACCATACCAGGTCTCCTCCCCACAACCTCTTGGTCACAGATAGTTTTATTATAGTATGTATTGCTAAGCGTAGATTTGTGCATCATTAGTGAAGATTATACTTCTGCCAATTTTTTTTAGTGGATGAATAGAACTTTGCAGTGTAGAAGTTGTTGATTTTGTTGCTTGTCACATATGAATGTCAGGATAAATACATTTGCAAGAGTAACATTTATTACTAGTTTAGGACTCAGACTGTAGTTATTCAGTGTAGGCCGGGAGAAAAAGTTTTTGTAATATTCCAGATGGAAATCAGGGTAACTAATCCTGATTTCTTTGTATACATTTGTGTAGTAGCACAGTAGATACTGTAGTTTTGTGACAAAAAGGGAACTTTCCCCCATATTTTATACTGTTTAATTTGGTTTCATGGTTATTACAGAAAAGAGAAACAGATTGGCTTGTATTAAATGTAGTTTTCTTTTAGGATGATGAAGATAATCTTGTGTTCTAATCTTGGCAACAATCATACAGTTTATATAGGTTAAATAGGTTGTTATCCCCATAGTATCTAATATCATTTTATCAGTTTTTCTGTTAGTTTAGATGACAACCATTTAAGTTTCTAGGAAGTTTGAGGTGAGAATATATTATTAGAGATGTGGTTTGGGCAGAAATTGGTCTATAATGGTATGTTTACTATTTTTGAAGACCAATTCTATTTAATGTTTTCTTTCTACCAGGAAGTATTTGATGATGCATCACCTGGAAAGCAAAAAGAAATCCAAGAACCAGATCCTACCTATGAAGAAAAAATGGTATGTTCTAGGCTTATGAATAGAGTCTGTAAAGAAAACTTTTTATTAGGTGATTAAATGTACTAAACGTCTATCTTAGTCCATTTTGTGTTACAACAGTACCACAGACTGGGTAATTTATAAAGAAAGAAAATTTATTTCTTAGAGTTCTGGAAGTTGGGAAGTCCAAGGTCAAGGCCAGCATTTGCTGAGGGCCTTCTTGCAGTGTCATTGTATGGAGGAAGGCCAAGAGAAGAGAGCAAGACAGGACTGAGCTTTCTTTTATAACAAGCCCATTGGTGATAACCTTCTCCTGAGATAATGACAGTAATCTTTTCCTAATCACCTCTTATTAGGCCCTACCTCCCAACACTGTTGCACTGGAGATTAAATTACAACGTGGGAGATTTGGAGGGGGACACAGTCAAACCATAGCAACATCTGTTCAATTTTATAATTAGGGCACAGATATCCATTTGAAGTATGTGTAATGTGGAATACTATAACTTCCATATCTTATGTGTCTATGTAAACCAAATGGAAGTATTGTATGAATTAACATAATATGATGTTATTATCTGGTTATGTTAACAACACCTTTGAAAATTTAACCTTGAAAGTGAGGTGACCAGAATAGTTACTCAATGTATGTTTATTCTGCACCTGGCTAACATTATACTCTGCTAGTTACCAAAAAAAGAAATATGCTCCTTGCTCACAGCATTTTTACATTATAGATGCGATCTTTACAAAAAGAACATGACATTGTACTGGAATCATTCAAGTCCCAGTTCACATTCCGTATCGTCTAAGAAACTTCTCAAAACTATGACTTGACTTAAACAGTACCTACACAGAACTTTAAATTTAAATTCAGTTTTAATAACAGTAGTAGTGGCTAACAGTGAATGTATGCCGTATCTGGCCCTGTTCTGAATGCTTTATATGAATTAAACTCATTTAATTGTATTGAAATCTTAAAAAAGTTAAAATAACAATGTATTAAATAAGAATACCACTACACAGTGTGCTCCTGTAGGGTAAGAACAGTGTCTTAATCTTTCTGTCTTCAGTACCCAGAACAATATCTGGCACATAGCAGATCTTACGTATTTTTTAAAACATACTTTTTTCTTGTCCTTTGACTTTCTCTTCCAAATCAGTAAATATTTTTGAATCTCTTAAATAACTTCAAAATCTTAAAATTATGATGTATATTCTATGGGCATATAATACTATGTAAATTATAAATGATTTATCTTTAGGTTTGATTTGTTACGTAGTTTACATATGTATATATGTAACTGTCACCTTTTTTGCTATCAAACTTAGAGAAAAAATAGATTTGCCTCTGTTTTTTAAAGTGAATACGATTTTGAATACAGTCTACATATTTTAATACTGCTTTAACTTTTTATAGTTTAGATTCTGACACTATGCCAGTGAATCTAATTGCCAATTCTGAGGCTTAGTTTTAGTTTCTTGATTTGTGCTTGATATTGTTGACCATTCCTCAAAAATCTTGACTTGCCTTGAAAGACGTTTTTTCCCTTGATAATATCCTCTTTGCTTTTTTATTCCTTTGTCTTTCCTTATTAAAATTTGAATGTTTCTTCCTAGACAGTTTGATTCTTACTGGTTTTTACCTGGTATCTTTAAACTGAATATTTTCAGATACTTAACCTCTAGCCCAGAAGCCTGTAATCGATATTTTCATTTACTTTAAAATCCTATTCATACCTCTTACTTGAGAATATCCAAAACTGTATTCATAATTTTTACTTAACATACCTTAGCGTTACCTCAGTGAATGAAAGCTCCTCTTCAGGTGTACTCAAGATGTCCATGACATTACTGCATACTTTTTAATAATAAGTTTACTTACAAGTTTATTCTCTTTTCCATATCACCCTCGTTCATTATTTTTCTATTATTGCATAGATTATTTTGTGCTTCTTTATTTGCCCCCTTTCTTATGATCTGGCCCCTTCCAAGTTTCTTTTTTTTTTTTTTTTTTTTTGAGACGGAGTCTCGCTCTATCGCCCAGGCTGGAGTGCAGTGGCCAGATCTCAGCTCACTGCAAGCTCCGCCTCCCGGGTTTACGCCATTCTCCTGCCTCAGCCTCCCGAGTAGCTGGGACTACAGGCGCCCGCCACCTCGCCCGGCTAGTTTTTTGTATTTTTTTTAGTAGAGATGGGGTTTCACCGTGTTAGCCAGGATGTTCTCGATCTCCTGACCTCGTGATCCGCCCGTCTCGGCCTCCCAAAGTGCTGGGATTACAGGCTTGAGCCGCCGCGCCCGGCCCCCTTCCGAGTTTCTTAACATTTTTGCAAAGTATTATTTGGGACACAAATTTGACTGTGAAATGGAGGTTTTTCAGTGGTTTTCTACAATGCTTTTCGTTTTCTTAGTGGCCTTTATTGGAACTTTTCTCATTTCTTCCAGGTTTTTCAGTCTCCCAGCATCATTTCGTTTTTTGACATCATGATCTTCACCTGAACAGTTTTTTCCTAAGCAAACTCCCTTGTCATCTGCTAGTTCCTAACCATAGATAAGTTCACTATCCACTCTTCATTCTTGAACCCAGAATGCTGAGTACTACTTCAGAAAACTAAATACTAGTGCTGATCAGTGTCAGAATAAGTTTATGGTTTTTATTTTCTTGGACTTTGAGTATTTATTGCCTGTCAATCTCATTTAGCCATTCTAAAATGTGCCCACTCTGATCAGTCTTCCTTCTCCATTTCTCCCATGCCCTCATTTTCAGTCTTCCTCCACAAAGAATTGCAGGCCTGTCTTTATTTTCTTTCTCTTTTCAAACATATGTATAGCCTCTGCTGTCCTACCTCATTTCTTCCTCTCTCAGAGAAAGAAGCTAATCCAAAGCTATTCACTTTAATTTCCATTTGATTTTGTAATTGATTTCTTCCAGGTTGCTAATCATACTCTCTTGTTTCTGCTTTTTAGGTTCTGTTAGTTTTTCTCCCTCAAGACATTTCAGTTTTAACCTTTTAATTCTCTCAAACAGTTTGTCTTGATTCCAGACATAATCACAATAATTATTTTTTCAGTCCAAACATCTTCTAGATGCATGCTCTTGGCTTATCTTTCATTATCTATAAATTAAGAAATGTAATTACGTAAAATTTGGATTCACATATGTGTCTTGTTCAGTACTGTAAAAACAGTCCGTAATCTTGGGAAACATAAATAGCGGAGGCTTGTCATCTGTAGGACATTACAGGGGTTCTAGCATGTTCACAGTCTTGTTATTGTGCAGATTCATTTGCTGCTGTGACTGCCATTTGTGACCCAATGAAACACTATAACCATGTGCCTTCCTAATAGCAAGTTGGGTTTCAGTTTTTACATTGGTGTGACCTTAAAAAATGATTGTGTTCCTTTTAAAAATACATAGTTGTTACAACATTATGGCATTTGGATACTTCTTGTGTTTTTAGGCAAATGTCTTTTTGTAATTCATTCCCAAACTGACATTTTAGACATTTATAGACGGAGATGTTGAGTAGTTGGTTTCCCTGTTTATTGAGCTTTTCTTGTCTTGCTTCTCCTTTGTTTCATCAAACTATTATTGTTTCTGTATAAAGGCTGCCTGATGGCTCTCAATTTCATTATTTTTATGAAAATTTGTCTTCAAGACTCTTAAGGGTTTTTTTTTTTTTTACCCAAGTAAATGTCTTCCATTCTCTTGGTTTTATAAAAATAGGGAACATTCAAAGGGGCAGATGGCAGATACAAAAGGAAGGAATAGTATCAAGCCCAATATCGTTTTAAAATTTGTCACATTTTTTCCAGCTTGTGAATAAATTCACAGTGTTGCACAATGCCTCTTAATATTTTAAAAATTGTTCCAATCAACTATATTGAAGTATAATTGACATAAAATAATTTTAAGTTTGCAATTCAATGAGTTTTAGCAAATATTTATTTAAATACTGTCACAATCATGATGCAGAGTAGTTCCATCATCCCCAAAAAGTTTGCTCCTGTTCCTTTGTAATCAGTTCTTGCTCCCACCTTCTTGCCACTTCTGATCTGCTTTCTATCACTAGTTAGCATTTCATTTAAGTGGAATCATACAGCATGTAGTCTTTTGTGTTTGGCTTCTTTCACTTTGCATAGTGCTTTTGAAACTCATCCATGTTGTTGCATGTATCTGTAGTTCCTTTTTTTTTTTTTTTTTTTTTTTGCTGAGTTCATTGTATGGAGGCATGCTGAAACTTTTTGATTTCTGAAGTTTTAATTGATACTCTGATAAAATGTATCTTAAATTTTTTTTCAGCAAACTGACCGGGCAAATAGATTCGAGTATTTATTAAAGCAGACAGAACTGTTTGCACATTTCATTCAGCCTGCTGCTCAGAAGACTCCAACTTCACCTTTGAAGATGAAACCAGGACGCCCACGAATAAAAAAAGATGAGAAGCAGAACTTACTATCAGTTGGCGAGTGAGTAATAGTTCCAACTTCATAGTTCAACCAAACTTATTTTTGATTGTCTTCAGTAGAAGCATAAAATCACTATGATAAATAACTTAAAAAATTATTTTAGTGCCATTATTTATTTGGCCCTGCTTGGCTTGGCATGATTTAGCCATAAGTGCATAAGTATATAAAAATATGCATATTGGTTAGAGCACAGTGGCTCTTGCCTGTAATCCCAGCATTTTGAGACACCAAGGTGGGAGGATTGCTTGAGTTCGGGAGTGTGAGAGCAGCCTGGGCAACGTAGGGAGATCCCATCTCTACCAAAAAAAAGAACAGTAAAACTGTATAACGTCTTATTTTTTGTAGCATTACATAGTTTATGAATTGTAACAATCATATTGAGTATGGAATTTAGATGTCATGTCATTCCTCAGAGAGGAACCAAATGCAGAGGTTAAGTGGCTTGTTTAATATCACATTGAAAAATGATCCAGACTTGAATTTGAATCTGACTTGGGTGTGCTCTAGGCTCCTCCATCACATACAGATGTTGACGATATTTTATCTAAAGTGTGGTGTATGGGATATTGTGATGACTTACATCACAGCAGCTTGTTTAAACTTTTTGTTACATACTTAGTTGTTTTTATATAAATTGAAGTGTCAGGTTGTATGCCATCCTTTGGTGGTTGTTGAAAGTAATTCTTAGATGTTGAATTTGGAAATTCTCTAGAATTTTTGTCCTGGTTGGATAAATAAGATGTTTAATTAGTAATAGTAGATTTAGGGCAGTCTTGGCTCCCTGAAATGGCTTTGTGTAAAATTCCCAAAGTGAAAACTGTGATCAGTAATTAAAATACAAAAGATTGTCTAAAATATCAACAAGGTTAAATTCACTACACAGTTTGTTGAAAGGAAAGTACGAGCTTCATCTTGAAGGGGTTATCGTTGTAAGCATAATACCTTTTATTTGGGGTATTCCACTCATTCAGTATATCTTACTTCTCATCCATTGTGACCAAAACACTATTTTAATACTTCTTAAAATATTTCAGACTTCAGAAGTTTGCAGATATTTAAATATCATTAGTGTCATGGTGTGAAACTGGAAACTAATGAATATTGTTATGGGATAGTCAATATGATGTCTCGAAAAGAAACACTTCTGTTATTCTTTTCTATTTTATTATTATCCTAATTTATCTTTTTTATAAGATAAAGATTCTATTGGAAATACATAATACATTGTTCAGCTTGATGTATTAAATAGTGTTATTGGGGAAAAAGGGTCCTAGTTAACAGATTTCTTTACTCTTCAAACCATTTTAAATGGGAAGCTAATTTACCTAAAGTAATGAGGGTGATAGTATTGTCTTTGAGTATCAGGAATACATTTTTAAAAATCTTTTTGTTGTTTGTTTATATTGAGACAGAGTCTTACTCTGTGACCCAGGCTGGAGTGCAGTGGTGTGATCTCGGTTCACTGCAACTTGTGCCTCTGGGGTTGAAGCGATTCTTGTACCTCAGCTGGGATAACAGGCTCACGCCACCAAGCCCAGCTCATTTTTGTATTTTTAGTAGAGATGGGGTTTCACCATGTTGGCCAGGCTAGTCTCGAACTTCTGACCTCAAGTGATCCACCCACCTCGGCCTCCTAAAGTGTTGGGATTACAGGCATGAGCCACTGTGCCTGGCCAGGAATACATTGTTTGTTTTTTTTTTAAGGCATTCACAATTATATTCAGTTTTTAACAATAAATGACAACTCAGCTTTTAAGTTTTACAACTGTAATAAGCATTTTGAGAGTAACTATAAAGGATATTTTATAAAAATGTTAAAATTATCTCCCAGTTTATGGAGAATAAATTGGGGATGGAAGTAGATCTTTGTACTCAATTTCATAGGCTCAGAATGCAGAGAAGTACAAGGAATAACAGACTAGGATGTACTGATTATGATTAGAAGCATATATAACAAACAAGAAGGCCCTTGAATTTCTGAGGAATGCTTCTATCTTGGAAGGCCAGTTATCCTTTTACCAAGCATGTAGTTTTGGTAGAAATGAAGTTACAAATTAGATTCAGGGGTCTCAGTAGGGGCATAACCTGCCTTTTTCTAAATAAGATGAAAATATTTGTTGAAAGTGTCAGAACTGGGGAGTAAGTATTAATAGTTTTATTGAACCGAGCCCTTTAGAGATTAATTGGCAGTATTAAAACTTGAGAAAATCAGTTTTTAAGGGGGTATGTCTGATTCTCTTAGGATGTAGAATTTAGATGTGTATTTAAAAATATTTTTGATTAATCCCTGGTCACTGCTTAAATTTCTGAGTCCTCATGGTGCCCCTTTTGCTCAAAGTTGCAGTTTTAAACATGTGGTTTCTGGAACTTTTTTTTCCTTTGGCAGAAAGATTTTTAAAAAGGTACACTTTAAAATTCAAATATTGAGATTTTCTGACTACATAGTTCTTGAAATTTGACTATCACATTTGAGTTTATTGGGTTCTGGTTAATCTATAGTACTGCTGTATTTTAATAACTAATGTATATTTTAAATAATTATCTGAAATGTTGGAGATTTAAATTTACTCATATTTTCTACTGTCCACTGGTTGATGCCTATTAGAAATTTAATTTTGTGGAATCTTGGTCAGCCACTTGACTATGATGTTGAAATAGTAGCTGATAATTAAAACCAAAACTCAAATCAGGTAATTTTGTTTTCATCTTAACAGTTACCGACACCGTAGAACAGAGCAGGAGGAGGATGAAGAACTACTAACAGAAAGCTCCAAAGCAACCAATGTTTGCACTCGATTTGAAGACTCTCCATCATGTATGTTAAACACAGTTGTTTTTTAAAAAATTGCCCTTTGAGACATCCTTTGGTTAATGTTTTGGATTTGTGTAGGCTACTATCTGTGAAGCAGATTTTTAGTAATCTTAGATGTTTATTGGTTGTGAAATAAACTTCAGATTTTGATGGAGATGAGAGCATATTATAGGACAGTAGTGCTATGTTTCAAAGTTACATAAAATGTCATTGTGTTTGTTATTGCCCTGAAGTATATGTAAAACTAGGGATCATTTTGCTTTATATTTGTCCCAGATAAGAAAACTAATTTATTTTAAAAAAGGTACTTCATGAACACATCTGCTTAGTTATTTTCTGATGTTTTTATATTAATTTGTTTTAATATTTTGTGAAATGTATTTGTTTGTTGGTTAGCTTTTTATCCTCAAGTGTTTTTCAAAAGGAAATGGGGGGTACGCTGTGTACATATTAAAAAAGAAAAATCAGGTGACTGTTATGTATATTTGGTAATTATTCTGGGGAGCAAAATAAGTAGTATACCCTGAAAGAGAGCACATTGGAATGTATAAGATATATTGGAAAAGTAACTTAGGAATTTCCTATTTCCTTTTTTTATTAGAAAGAAAATAAAATCTGCAGATAACCTGTATCTGGTCTTTATGAAAGCTGAAAATACTTGGTTAGGAATACTTGGGTTGTCATTAAAAAGACAAGAGGCCAAAGAGTCTCTTGGACCAGTATATGGGTAACATAAGAACTGAGTTGTTGGAGTGGGTACTCTTATTCCTGCAGTCATGTTTCCCGTACTTGGTTATCTTCCATGTCCAGCGTATCTACTTCAGACCATGGCAGCTACCTCTAGTAGTTTGGAACTTGCAGAGTTCCTATTCTTCAAGAATCCCTTAGTAATGAAAATGAAGTCAGTATATATGTGTAGGCCCAGATGAAGAGATTGCCTTGTATTTCTTGTCTTAAAATGCATATTGTGCTTTTCTTTTGTTCTTAGATGTAAAATGGGGTAAACTGAGAGATTATCAGGTCCGAGGATTAAACTGGCTCATTTCTTTGTATGAGAATGGCATCAATGGTATCCTTGCAGATGAAATGGTATGTGTTGGTAGATTTTTTGAAGGGTATGTTTTGTATTTAAAATATCTTATACATTAAATTGACAAAAGTTTCTTACAGTCTACAACTGTTAGCAAATGGATCCTCTCTGAAACTAGTGTAAGCAGCTTGCCTTAATTGCATGTGATCTGTATTTTAATTGTGAGAAATTTCCATCTGTGAAAATATAATAAATTTAAAAACAATACATTTGAGAAACATGTTTTTGGATGACTTTTATAGTACACTGATTTATTTCCTTCCAGTTCTGTAAAACACAAGTGAGGTCATTAGTTGTTTATAAATGATAAGAATTTTTTCCAGGTGGTAGCTTGTACAATTCTTATAAAACATTTTATCTTTTGTTAACTGCTAGTTATGTAATGAATGTTTTAAAAAGTTTCCTTATTGCTATAGTGCTAAAACGTTTAATTGGTTGGAGAAAGTATGAAGTCAAAAGAAACGTGTTTCAATGCTAGCTGTGCTAGATGGCTTTGGGAATGTCACTTCAACTGGGCCTTATGCGGGTGATAATAATACCTCCTTTAGAGACTTGTGAAGATTATATGACATAACACTTACAAACTTTGACATATGTTAAGTTTTTGCCATTTATTAACTATTATAAATATGTGGCATTTCTCTTAAATATTTATCTCTGTTTGTTGGGAGGTATAATTTTGAAATAATGTTTTTGTTTTTCATTGCTTCATGGTTATTTTGAAATCTTTTAGGGCCTAGGAAAGACTCTTCAAACAATTTCTCTTCTTGGGTACATGAAACATTATAGAAACATTCCTGGTCCTCATATGGTTTTGGTTCCTAAGTCTACATTACACAACTGGATGAGTGAATTCAAGAGATGGGTACCAACACTTAGATCTGTTTGTTTGATAGGAGATAAAGAACAAAGAGTAAGTTTCTAGTATTTCATTACATTTTTGATGCTAAAATAATTTGAATTCAGGCTTGAGTATGGGTATAATGGGAGGAAGGATAAAAGAGACGGGATCTTCGCAAATATTAGTATTTACAAATGTAGCATCGTCTTGATGGATAAAAAACAGCACTTCGGGAGGTCGAGGCAGGCGGATCATGAGGTCAGGAGATCAATACCATCCTGGCTAACACAGTGAAACCCTGTTTCTACTAAAAACATAAAAAATTAACGGTGTGGTGGCACATGTGGCCTGTAGTCCCAGCTACTTGGGAGGCTGAGGCAGGAGAATCTCTTGAACCTGGGAAGTAGAGGTTGCAGTGAGCCGAGATGGCGCCACTGCACTGCAGTCTGGGCGATAGAGCAAGGCTTCATCTCAAAAAAAAGAAAATCATACTGGAAAGAAGACACTAGAAACTGTAGAAAGCTGTAAGAATATATAGTGTTTCCCTTTTGGGAGTGGTTGTATAAAATCAGTGGTTTTGCTCTCATTAGAAGTATTTTCTCGTTTTTAAAAGATGTTTTGAAATGTGAGTTGGTTGGAAATTTAAGGAGCCACATTTTTAGATGAACGTGTGTAGTGGTAATAGTCGCAGAATTACGGTTTTTAAAGACAGTTGAGTCATATATAGTTATTTGGTGATTTATTATGATATCTAACAAAATAAGTTAAAATTTCGATCAGTTAACAACATCCTTGTGGGAAGAAGAGATGGAAATAATAACATTAGTATATAAAGCTCAGATTTGGAAATTTATTCAGACTCTGCTGAATAGCTGTGTACTTGTTTTTATTTCCCGTTCATTCACCTGTGAGTGAGAAGTCTAGATTTTTTTCTTTCCTTTTCTAGTTACATTGGGTATTTTAAGTTATCAATTTTTGTTTGTTTGTTTGGGAGCCCAGAGAGTGGTAATTACTTAATAACCACTCTTTGCTTCAGTTTTCTTACCTTTAAAATAATACTATTAGGAATGTGTTAATACATTTATAAACCTGAAAGGAATGCAGATGCCTACTACTGCTAACTATCTTTCCGCCCTGTTCCTTTCTTTATGTTAAAACCTCCCTCTTTTTTGTCTAAACCTGTCTCCTAAGGATTTCCATATCTAGTGGAATTGCAGAAAGCCATTTTAAGTGTCTATTGAATTTTGCACGGGTTAACTTTGTCAGTTTTTAAAAATTTAATGGTTCTGACATTTAAATGATTAATGATGTTACTTTAGTGTTAAGAAAGCTGATTCTAAACATTTGCATAATATAGCTACTCTACTCCTTTTTAATATTCCCACCTCCTTTTACATATTAGATTACTTGTCATCAGTAAATTTAATGCGTGGTTTATTCCTGTGTGATGTAATTTTTTTCTCTTGTTACACAGGCTGCTTTTGTCAGAGACGTTTTACTACCAGGAGAATGGGACGTATGTGTAACATCTTATGAAATGCTTATTAAAGAGAAGTCTGTGTTCAAAAAATTTAATTGGAGATACTTAGTAATAGATGAAGCTCACAGGATCAAAAATGAAAAATCTAAGGTAATTTGATACTTAGATGTGAAAAGCCTTCATGTAAGAATTTGATTGAAGTACAGATTTTTTTTCGTCTAACTTTGAGTTATGAGATACACGTGCAGAACGTACAGGTTTGTTACGTAGGTATGCATGTGCCATGGCGGTTTGCTGCACCTAGCAACCTATCATCTAGGTTTTAAGACCCGCGTGCATTAGATATTTGTCGTAATGCTCTCCCTCTGCTTTCTCCCCACTCCCCAGCAGGCCCTGGTGTGTGATGTTCCCTTCCCTGTGTGCATGTGTTCTCATTGTTCACCACCCACTTATGAGTGAGAACATGCAGTGTTTGGTTTTCTGTTCCTGTGTTAGTTTGCTGAGAACGATGACTTCCAACTTCATCCATGTCCTTGCGGAGGACATGAACTCATTCTCTTTTATGATTGCATACTGTTCCCTGATACATATGTGCCGTATTTTCTTTATCCAGTCTATCATTGATGGGCATTTGGGTTGGTTCCAGGTCTTTGCTGTTGTAAATAATGTAATATGCAGAATATTCTAATGGTGTATTTGGTTCTTTTCTTTCAGTTGTCAGAAATAGTGAGGGAATTCAAGACTACAAATAGACTATTATTGACTGGAACACCTCTTCAGAACAACTTGCATGAGCTGTGGTCACTTCTTAACTTTCTGTTGCCAGATGTGTTTAATTCAGCGGATGTAAGTATTTCCTGATGCTTTCTGGTAATAATAATATTTTGCTTAATGCTATATATTTTTGTAATAGAAGTGGCCTGTCTTTTAGCGTGGCTTGAGATTATTATTAATTTTTTATGCTTTTATTTGTATAGTTAGCCTGGTGTTATCTCCTAGGTTGTCTCTGTATAATGGGAATTTACTTTTGTGCCTTTAGTTTCAATCTTACTTCATTATTATTATTATTTTATATTTTTTTGAGACATAGTCTCACTCTGTCATACAGACTGAAGTGCAGTGGTGCGATCTTGGCTCACTGCAACCTCCACCTCTGGAATTTGGGTGATTCTTGTCCCTCAGCCTTCCCAATAGCTGAGATTACAGGTGTGTGTCACCACGCCTGGCTAGTTTTTGTATTTTTTGTAGGGATGAGGTTTTGCCATGTTGTCCAGGTTAGTCTCAAGCTCCTGGCCTCAAGTGATCTGCCTGTCTCAGCCTCCCAAAATGCTGGGGTTATAGGCGTGAGCCACCACGCCAGGCCTCAGTCTACTTTAAATCATTGTTTTCTCTATCTGAAATGGCATAAATTGGCACTTCTATTTGGTAAGTCATGTTAGCCTGATTTTGTTTCAGTGGCTCTAGGTTGACTGGTTATGGTTTTAAGGTGCTGCTCAAGGTATTCCTGAAGTGATTTGTATACCTCACATTGCTTATGTTTTAAGTGCCAAGGGTGACTGTCAAATTTAGTGAAATCCGTCTGGCTTTTCTTTTACTATAGTCTAACAAACAAATATAACCTAATCTTTATGGATTATTTGTAGTCATAGAAATGATAGCAATCGTTAATTAGCTATTTGAACTGTTAATAGTAATATAATAGCTATGTCAAGAGTTTTTGCTATTAGAAATTGCAGTTTTTTTTTTTTTTTTTTGCTGGACCAGCGTTTATTTTTGAAACTTTGTTTGCATAGCTGGCATCTTGTGTGTGTTGGAGGGATTTGAAGAGCACCACGTTAGTATATTTTTCTACAGTTAAGTTATAAAAAGGTATTAATTTTGTTTTTTTCTGTTGAAGATTATTTTGAAAGAATAGTGATTTTGTGTTGTAAAAAGATATTTAATCAAACTCGAAAAGCAGTTTTAGTTTCGATTTTACATATTTCGATGTTCTTGAGATAATTCCTTTTTTCTCACTACATTGACACTTTCATTTACTTTAGTTAAAGCAGTGAATTCTAAGATTATGTTTACTCAAAAACAAAGCACATATATACCACATATTTTCAAGAGATGAGGTTAGAGAAACTGTCCTTGTATCCTAACCAAATATTAATGAAATGCTGGTAATTTCAATTTCATTTAGTAAGTTTGATTAAAATTGACATTGTTCTGTAAACTGGTATTTGAGAAGTCTGAATGGTCTTAGAGAACAAACTATAAAATGTTTTAATTTTCAAGCTTTTATGAAAATTGAAAGATATTTTTCAAGAATATTAATTTTCTAATTCTATAGAACTTGCTTTCCAAGTTATCTTTTTACTGTGAAACTTGTTATTTTGATGTTTTTGAGAAGAATATTTAGAAGGTAGTGTGATTTCTGATCTACTTGTTTTAAAATTTGTTGATAACAGTGACACAGGAGAAATGGGGTTGGACTAAGTGTTTTTTTTTTGTGGGTTACAATTAAAACTACTAATTCTAGAAATCATTTCTGTATCTGGTATTATAGGGTGTTTATTAATATTATCTCTGATCTGAGTATTTTTTTTTGTTAATCTAGGACTTTGATTCCTGGTTTGATACAAACAACTGCCTTGGGGATCAAAAACTAGTTGAGAGGCTTCATATGGTAAGTATTTTGGAGTAGTGTTAAAGCATATTTCTGATGGGAAAAAGGATAAAGGTTTAAATTAGTAGATTATTTTCCTGCTAATAAAAAGCTCAATGGCTTAAGAATCAGATCTGCTTGAATTCTGACACTTAACTGTTACATCTTACAATCAATGTAGGGGATGATGTGTGGTTGTTCAGTGTTAGAACCTAGAGTGGAATCCTGACTTAAGGGAAAAAGTAATCTCTTACAGTTATACAAAGTACAGTGGGGGAAAGAAGAATTGCATAATAATTAATATAGACAAGTTTTTGTTGTTGTTTGATCTTGGCTCACTGAAATCTCTGCTTCCCAGGCTCAAGCAGTCTCTCCCCACTCAGCGTCTAGAGTAGCTGGGATTACAGACACTCGCCACCATGCCCAGCTAATTTTTGTATTTTTTGCAGAGACAGTGTTTCACCATGTTGCCCAGGCTAGTCTCGAACTTCTGAACTCAAGTTATCAACCTGCCTCCCAAAGTGTTGGGATTACAGGCATGAGCCACCACGCCTGGCCTTATAGACAAGTTTTTAAAGCTTAGTTCAATTAACATTCCGTAGAAGAATCTAACAGGTTCACTTTTGAAAGGGCGAAAGATCCATCTGTTTTTTCTTAAATCTAGTGACATTGTGTGTAAGCAACTGCCTTGCATAATGAGCAGAGTTGGTATGTTTTTGCTTTGCTGTGTAGCTTTGTTTTTACGTACAGCTTCCTGGGACGGTTCACAGGTAAAAGTTGGTAGGTAGAGAAACTTCTCTAACAGACCCCAAATTAAAATACCCTGGTCAGCAGGTTAAAGCAGGAGCTTGTAAGAATGTTATATAAAGCCCTTAATGACCTAACTCAGGAATTTTCAGCCTCCTTTGACATTTTGGTCTGGGTATATCTTTGAGAGGGGTAAGGAGAGAGGGGAGAACGTGATTGTCCTGTGTGGTGTTGTATGTTTAATAGCATCCCTGACACTTCTACTCACTAGATGGCAGTAGTAACATTCCTCCAGTTGTGACAACCAAAAATTTCTCGACATTGTCCCCTGGGGAACAAAATTGTGCCCCTCCATGACCTAACCTTTTTAACGTTCTTTGGCATCTGTTTTACTTAATATATTGAGCTTTAATTTGATAGATTGCTGACCCCACTGTCAGTTTTCTGTAAACATTGTGGTAATTTTAATCTATTTTTGCTTATCATTTTTGCTACATCTAGAATCCTTTTTCCTGGTCTCTTTACTAATACCTAGTCCAAGACTCAGTGACATCACCTCCACTGAACCAGCCAGGCTGAGGCTGGCCTAGTCATCTGTGTATTCCATCTTTAACAATCTGAGCACCCTAACGTTATAGGACTTTGCAGAGGATATTGAGATGATTCACAAGTGTTTTCTATACTGGATTGTAAGCACAAAGGCAGGAAGCGCATATTTATTTGTCTTTGTATACCTGGCACAATGCCTAGTTAGAGTGGATATTTGAGCAGGGAAAAAAAATTAAGTTCATAATTGTTCAAATATTTCATTATAAAGTACTTTAAAATTCTTAAATACTGAGCGTTTTGTTAAATATTTGAAGGTAGTAATTTCCTAGCTACCTTTATTTCAATTCAGATGGCATTCATACGTCTGAGCACTCTCTTCGTGTTTACTTAGACCAAGGATTGTGGAGTATATATGTAATCTTGGGGGTAGAAAAGGAGGCAGAAGAACATGATTTTTTTCATGCATTTTTTTTTCCCTTATTCTTCTGCTCTTGGCTTTCCTGTAGTAAATACGTAGGTACATCTAGGTAAAGCAAACAAATAACCCACAGAGCAGAATCAACCAGATTTGGAAACTGTTTTGTTCACAGGGTATTTTGAAAATGCTTATGAAGTCAGGGAGAAGAGGTCTTGTAGCTACCTCTCTATTTTCTCCTGCTCTTTACTTTGAAGTTTCTACAGTAGTACCTGTGGTCTCATAATGAAAGGAAGGTTTAGAAGTCAGTATGGATATGCTTAGGAATGAGATAACTCTTATTTGATGCGTTAGTTATCTAATGCTGCAAAAGAACCCCTTATTCCCTCCACCCCCCAAAAACACCTTAACCCCCCCTTTAGGGGTAAATAAGACTCCCTTATTTCCCCCACCCCCAAAACACTTAATAGTTTATTAACAACCCTAGAATTTATGGGTTGACCGGGTGATTTCTTTGTGGGTTACAGCTGGGTTTATCCAGTTAGATTTATTTAGCTGGACAATGCCAGAAGAGAACCATTTGGAGCTAAAGGTCTTCACTTACACATCTGGCAGTTGTTGGCGCCTGTCAACTAGGGCTAAACTAGCTTTTCTACATGGTGATATTAGAGAGATGTTGATGATACTTTCCCCAGTGATATCTAATTTGTTTTGTGATATAGTCACTGTTTTTAAAAACCAGTGTAGATAGAAGAGAGGTACAAAAAAGTGTATCTTTAGTTGTATAGTTAATTTTAAAACTTACTGTTTTATGAAAATGAGTGAACTACTACTACATATAACGTGGAAGTGTCTCATTGTTTAATAAAAGAAACCAGATATAAATGGGTGCTTATTGAGTGAGTCCATGTATATAAAGTTAAAAATGATAGGCGAAATTAATTTATGGTGTCTAAAAGTAAGAATATTGCTTACCCTTGGGAAGGAGAAGAGGGAATAGTGACTGGAAGGGACACAAAAATGATTTCTAGAGTGTTCTATTTAGGTAATAACATGGGTACTTTTACAGTACTTGAATAAAATTTCTAGAACTGTACACTCATGATTTATTGAAGTGTATACTTGTATATTCCTTCCGTAAGTTAGGACAGTAAGTTTAAAGACCAACCATAAAAGAGATCTTAATGAGACCCTTGCCCATTCTTAAGCAATGTTAGACAGTCTGCATGCAAGTAACTAGTTTTAGACCTGAAAGGCAGCGAATTGTTGAAAACATCATTTTAAAAATTTACTACTGTTTTTAGTATTTTATGGTAGTATAACAGGTACATACTCATTATGTATACAGGCACATCTCATTACGCTTTGCAGTGCCTCACAGATACTGTATTTTTAAGAAAAATTTACTTTTCAAAACAAATAGATGGTTTGTGGCAATCGTGTGTCAAGGAAGTCTATCAACACCATTTTCCCAAGGCATGTGTTTACTCTGTTTTTAAAGCAATAATGTATTGCTTTAAATAATGTATCACATTTTTAAAGTAATAATGTATTTTTAAACTAAGGTATGTACTTTTTTTAAGACATAATGCTATTGCACACTTAATAGTGTAAATGTAACTCTCAGGTGCACTGGGAAATGTGACTTGCTTTATTGAGGTAGTCTGGAACTGAGCCTACAATATCTCTGAGGTATGCCTGTATTGAATAAGTAATGATCTTGTATTATTACCCTTCAGGAACCCTGTAGTAATAAATTATATACAGTTAGCCCTTCATATCCGTAGGTTCCACATCCATAGATTCAATCAACTATGGATTGGAAATATTTGCCCCCAAAAAAGATAAAAATAAAATGGATGGTTCCATCTGTGTTAAAGATACTGACCTTTTCCTTGTCATTATTCCCTAAACAGTATAGTGTAACAAGTATTTACATAGCATTTACATTCTATTAACTGTTATTACAAGTAATCTAGAAATGATTTAAAGTATATGGAAGGATGTTTGTAGGTTATATGCAGATACTATATTTTATATAATGGACTCGAGCATTTGTGGCTTTTGATATTCAAAGGGAAGGGGAGGGGAACTAGTCTCCCAGAGATACTGAGATATGACTGTATTTGCAGGAAGAAGTCCTAAGAAATCACTTGATACTCATGAAGAGAAATTTCTTTTTCATATCTTTTATATACAATTCTAAGATGCTGAAATATGACCTTATGTGTAATATTGGTATTACCTATTTATTTTTGTCCTTTTTAAGGTTTTGCGTCCATTCCTGCTTCGTCGAATTAAGGCTGATGTTGAAAAGAGTTTGCCTCCAAAGAAGGAAGTAAAAATCTATGTGGGCCTCAGCAAAATGCAAAGGGAATGGTATGTGTTCTCAGATGTAGTTGATAGCACTATTGATTCTTCCCTAAATTTCATTTGTATTTTGTTTTCCTCATTTGTGTTTTCATGGAATTGCAGTTTGCTGGATTGAACTCAACCTGAAAAGAGGTTTCTCGTCATGTAGTAGAGGTCTTGCTCATTAAGTTCGTTATAGAAAATTTTGAACTTACTAGATGACAGAATCAGGATGGAAGGCTTATAAATCCAAAATTAAAATTGGGATTTAAATCAATGGGTTTCATATGAAGCCATCTATTTGGGTTTTTTACGAAAGAAACTGTGATAGCACAGTGTGGGAGATACACAGTTCACTTAGTAGTTCATAAATACTAGGTCAGCAGTGTAAAGTGGCTGCAGAAGAAGATACTGTTATGTAAGTTTTGTGTTCAAAGGAGGGGAAATAAATTTACCCTTTTCTTTAGTGGTCTCATTATATTTCATGTATATTTAAGTGCATACTTAAATTTTGATAAGTATTTGCAAGAGACCAGAGTTGTTTGGTTAAAGGACTTAATATCATATAGAGAACTGGGCATGTTATCTGGGTAAGAGGTTATCTGTAGAAGGTGGTCGGTCCTAAATGTCCTGAAAACTTTTGAAAGAGTAGCAGATACTAGGCTTAGCTTGGATGGCTCTAAAACAGAACTAAAATGAGTCAGTGCTAAGAGAAGACAAATATTTTTTAGTTAAACATTTGAGTGAACTTTATATCAGAATTGAGATGGAAAGATCTGCCTTGTTGTTTAAGCATAGATTGCTTAGGCTACTTATTTTGTTCAAAGGATCCAAGGCTCTAAAACTTTAGTGCTTAGACAAATTACTCATTCTTTCATAACAATGTCTAAATTCTTAGTATACATTCAAGGCTTTTTATAATCTGGCCTTAGCTTATGGCTGTAGTAGCTTCACAGACCTACCTCACAGACATAGCTCCCTCCCCCTATGTATTTATATATATATGTAAATCACGTTGTATTCATATTATTCTCATCATCATGCCTTACCATTTCATTAGTCTTCTTGTCTTCTCAGATGTTAGGGTTCTTACCTAAATACTGCACTAGCTATGGGGTATATAAAAATCGAATAGTGGCACTTTCTGTTGCAAAAAACTACAAACTAAAATTATGTTTAAAACTTACATTTTTTAAAGTTTTGCTTTATTACTTAAAGATATAATATCTTACTGCTTTGTTTTAATTCTACCCAAGGGAACTGTTTTTGTACTTTTAAAATAATATCCTCAAGGCCCAAGGCATAAGTGTGAACATTATAACACTATGTACAATAAAGAAAAATGGAAGCAAAAAGAAAGAGGTTACAGATGTTAAATTCCTAACCATCCCTAGAAGTTGATGAGTAGTTTCTTACAGATATTTGGGGGTTCAGGTGGGGAAGGGGATTAAGTATGTAAAGTGGCAGGGGTTGATCAAGGAACATTTAAGCTCTAAAAATATTTTTCTTCTTTGAATAGGTATACTCGGATATTAATGAAGGATATAGATATACTCAACTCAGCAGGCAAGATGGACAAAATGAGGTTATTGAACATCCTGATGCAGTTGAGAAAGTGCTGTAATCATCCATATCTCTTTGATGGAGCGGAACCTGGTCCACCTTATACAACAGATATGCATCTAGTAACCAACAGTGGCAAAATGGTGGTTTTAGACAAGCTGCTCCCTAAGTTAAAAGAACAAGGTATCTATTACCCGTATCAAATTATCAAAACTGTTTTAAAATGCTCATGTTAAAACAAAGGAGCACTATACTTTGAAATGACTGCTCTGATGCTTTCTAAAGTTGAAGTGTAGAACATTAAAAAAACCTATTCATTATCTGAGCTCTAACCCCCACTCCTGATTTTAGGCCTTAAGTCTCTTAGAAGGTAAGCAATAGTTAGAGCAACCATACTCCCTTGATTTTGGAAAGAGTTTACACTTTATATATACTTTCCTAGAAATTACAGCTTTCTGTCATAAAATGTGAAGATTGCACCTCCCTCCCACACATGGTTCCCAGATCCATTGTTAGACAGTGGTGGTGTGTTCATGATATTGTTTTTTAATTATTTATGTGGGGTTTTAATTAGGTACCATGTACATGGACCTGAAACATTTTTATCTATAGTATGTTGACTTTTTATATGAAAAGGGGTATGTCGGCCGGGCGCGGTGGCTCAAGCCTGTAATCCCAGCACTTTGGGAGGCCGAGACGAGTGGATCACGAGGTCAGGAGATCGAGACCATCCTGGCTAACATGGTGAAACCCCGTCTCTACTAAAAAAAATACAAAAAAAAAAAAAAAAACTAGCCGGGCGAGGTGGCGGGCGCCTGTAGTCCCAGCTACTCGGGAGGCTGAGGCAGGAGAATGGCGTAAACCCGGGAGGCGGAACTTACAGTGAGCTGAGATCGGGCCACTGCAGTCCAGCCTGGGCGACAGAGCGACACTCCGTCTCAAAAAAAAAAAAAAGGGGGTATGCTGTGGTGTGTGTTTGGGTATATTTAAATTACACGAATGTAGAAAGAACTTAGAAGCCAGCTTCCAATTTTAACTAATAAAAAATGTTTTTAGTCTACTATACGTTTCCTCCTCCCAGATTATTTGAAGCAAACGCCAGACACTATAGCATTTCATAAATTATTATCTGTCTCTTAAAGATAAGAAATATCACTGATACAGTATTAAGTGTACAGATTCAAGTTTGTTTGTGTTTCTCTCTGTATTTTAATAAGAATGACAGTTGTACCAGTAGATGAATCTCCTCTATGATACTATCAAAAGCATATTGTAAGAGTTGTCAGTGAATGGGTTTACTTTTTCCTTTTTATACCTTTTTGTAGAGATAGATTTTTAAAAAATGCTTTCCTTGAAAGCAAAGTAATTAAAGGAATTGAATTGGTGGAGAGGAGTGGCAGGAACTTGGTGGGAATATTCAGATATTAATGTAAAGTATATTAAACTCTGCAAGGAAAATGGAGACTATTAAATGTTCTCATGTTGCAGTACTTTTTGGAAGGCTGAGGTGGGCAGATCATTTTAGGTCAGGAGTTCAAGACCAGCCTGGCCAACATGGTGAAACTCCATCTCTACCAAAAATACAAAAAATTTAGCTGGGCGTGGTGGCATGCACCTGTAGTCCCAGTTACTTGGGAGGCTGAGGCAGATGAATCACTTGAACCTGGGAGGCAGAACTGAGATGGTGCCACTGCACTCCAGCCTGGGTGTCAGAGCGAGACTCCGTCTCAAAAAAAAAAAAAATATTCTTACACATTTGAGGTGCAGGAACGTGTGACAACAGCAGATTGTCAGCCTCCACTTATAAGACGGGATCATTTCATAATCATTACTTTTCAAAATGATCCTTTGTCTTGATGCATTCTACTGAAAGTATTATGTAGTTGCCTAAAGAAGTGGAAGACAGTCAGATAGTTTGAATCACGTCAGATAAGTGAAGGATAGTCATTGTAGATATATGAGGTACATATTATGGTCCTTTGATCTGGAATGGGTCTTCAGAACCAGGTTGAAACCTGGAGTATTAGGTGTGTGTTGGGGGTTTGGGGAGTCATACGCATTGAAGAGGAGTTGTGGAGTAGTGGAAGGTTATTTTTAAACATACGTGAGGTAACAAGATAATGATTATCTTACCCTTTGAGATGGGAAAGCCTTCCAGACCAGAGGCAAATATGCTTTTCTGTACAAATGTTATCCTTTTTTATTTGTGCCATGGTGAGAAAAAAGTGGGAAATGACTGACTGGGATGATAATGTGTAGATTTTTTTGCCCCCTTGTAACCAAGTAGATAACTTTGGAATTAAAGATAATTGGTTAGTCTTACTTTTGGTTACCCTTAAATTTTTCTACTTTTGAATATATTAATATATTCACTAACAGGTTCACGAGTATTAATCTTCAGTCAAATGACAAGGGTATTGGACATTTTGGAAGATTATTGCATGTGGAGAAATTATGAGTACTGCAGGTTGGATGGTCAGACGCCCCATGATGAGAGACAAGTGAGTAAAATTTGGGGAGGGAGATAAAAAAGAATCATAAATTTTTTGACAATCATTTTATTTTATCTGTAGGACTCCATCAATGCATACAGTGAACCAAACAGCACAAAGTTTGTTTTCATGTTAAGCACACGTGCTGGTGGTCTTGGCATCAATCTTGCGACTGCTGATGTAGTAATTTTGTATGATTCTGATTGGAATCCCCAAGTAGATCTTCAGGCTATGGTAAGAGATAACAAATAAATGTATTCTGTGCTTAGTAGATGAATTAGTTAGGGTGAGGTAATTCTTCAGATATCGGTGACTTAACCCAATAGAATTTTATTTTTCTCCAATCCAGTGGTTCAGTGAGAGTATATTGAGTTGATGTTCCATCTAAATAAGGGTATTTCCATCTCAGAGATCTGCCATATCTTAGGACCCTGGAGTCCTCTGCTATATCCTCTGCATCCTATTGGCAGAAGGGGGAAAGGATAGAGTTGGGGATTTTCCAGGAAATTTATGGGTCAGACCTTGAAAGAGCCTCCTTGTCTCTCCACCCTCTTGATCAGACAATTGGACAGAACTCAAATCATGTAGCATAACTGACTGCAAGGGGATTGGTAAATTATATTGTTGTTGTATCACAGGACGAAAGAGAATTGAGTTTGATGAGCAACTAGCCTGTCTGCCACTTTAGATATTTAAAAGATACACCTGTGTGAAAGTACCAGTCAGATCAGGAATATTATTTTTAGATTGAGAGAATTGATACTGCAGATTGGCCTGACCCGTGATACTGGTGACCATAAACCCAACTGTAATTAGTCACTTTCTTTCTTTTTTTTTTTTTTTGAGACAGAGTCTCACTCTGTTGCCCAGGCTGGAGCACAAGGTCCGCCTTCCGGGTTCACACTGTTCTCCTGCCTCAGTCTTCCAAGTAGCTGGAATTACAGGTGTGCACCACCACGCCTGGCTAATTTTGTATTTTTATTAGAGATAGGGTTTCACCATGTTGGTCAGGCTGGTCTTGAACTCCTCACCTTCAGGTGATCCCCCCACCTCGGCCTTCGAAAGTGCTGGGATTACAGGAGTGAGCTACTGCGCCCAGCCCGTTAGTCACTTTCATCTTGTGCTCTTACTAAGGTTGACTGGGGAAAATTGTCCGATTATTAGAAATAAAGGAGTTTTTTAGGAATGTAGTTAGCAAAAGTGAAACAGAAATTCCTATTCAAACTAGTTTGACTACTTGTATTTAGTTAATTGGGTAATATTTAAAGATTAGAATTTTTATGTTGTTTGATAAGTTCATTGTTTCATGTCACTTTTTTGCCTGATACAGTAACAATTTGGGTTTGATATAGATAGAAAAACATTTTGAATTTAAACCTAGGGAAAAAGACTTAAAATCTTTTCTCATCAGACTTAAAAATTATAATTTTGTATATTGTTTGGAGACATTGTGTGTGTTTTATCTCTGTAACCTAGCAGAATTCATCTGATTCTTACAGATTCATTGTTACTACAAATTTTTAAAAGTTTTATACTTCAGAATATTTTAATTTTGTTTCTCAATGTACCCATTTCAGTGTTATTTATGTGACTTGTAAACTCAATTCAAAATAACATGGTAATTTATTTAGGACCGAGCACATAGAATTGGACAGACCAAGACAGTCAGGGTGTTCCGCTTTATAACTGATAACACTGTAGAAGAAAGAATAGTAGAACGTGCTGAGATGAAACTCAGACTGGATTCAATAGTCATTCAACAAGGTAAGCCATGGAACTTTAAAACTTTACCAAGCTGGATTGACACAACCTGTTTTTGTTTGAACATCGTCTTAGAAGATTCTTGTTACTAAGCATCCATTGAGTCAAGCTTGCAGCCAGTAGAGATTACTTGTTTTGCAAATACAGTAAACTTTAGTTTTGTCCTTAAGATTTATTTGAGCTCAGGACAATTGAGTTTTGAATAATGACTCTGCCAGTTAGCAGTTCTCTCTCGTTACATGAACCCATTTCCTCATCTGTTAAGTGGGGATAAAAATACACTTAAGGATTTTAAAGGATTAAAGGGGATAATGTATATAAGATATCTGATATTCAGTGTGGTGGTTAATGATTTATATGTACTAATTACTCTTGATTACTGTGGGGAATACTGAAGAAATAAAAATCAAAGAGCCTGATTTTATTCTTTTTTCTTATCTGCAACTTATTGAGTACCCACCAGATGCTAGGCACTGTTCTTGGTGTTGAGAATTCAGTGGTAAATGGAACATTCAAGTATTCTTACTTTAAAAGAGTTTACAATTTAGTTGGGAGGGCAGATGAAGTAAACAAGGTATAAGTAGGAGTAGGGGGTGAGAGTGGGATTTTATTTTGAATTGATTGAAGGAAACTTAAGTTCTCATTCCAGATTAACTTTTAAGGATGACATAGTTTATGTTTTCATGAAACTTACTGTAAAGTTGATGATGGGAAATATAAAATTCAAGAAAAGGGGTGGGAAACTTAATAACTTCAAATGTTCATTAGTTTCCTTTGTAATTGCATTGTGAGCGTATATTTACTATCTGTCTAAAAAGCTGAAAGGCATATTGTTACATTGTTTACTGATTATGTAGGTGTCTTGATTTTGTCAGTCTCTTATTTCCATGTAAGAGAGTATTTTTCATGTCTTTGGTATCCCTAATGCTATTGCATACCTAAAGACAATAAATTATTGCTTATTTTTACAAATTGTTTCCGTTAATAAAGTGTTTACTTTGTGCCAGGCAGTGTGAACATTTCATTTTCTCCTTTAGTCTTCATGCCAACTTGAGATGTTAGCATCAGAGGTAAAGGCTTTTGAGAGGTTAAATTACTTGTTCATTGTACATACAGCTGGGAAGTGACTCAAGGGGGATCAAGAACTTTGTTAACTATTAAGTATTTAATTAGGAAGGCCTTTGGGGGCTTCTCGAGGCTACCAACCCATGAGGTTATCTCATGGGTGATAAAATGGCTAATGTTTTATTTTTCTTCACACATCTGTGTGTTTTGAAAAACACCTGCCATATGCTTCTTGTTCTCAGTTATTTTCATCCATGAAACACTTTTTTTTGAGGTGGAGTTTTGCTCTTGTTACTCAGGCTGGAGTGCAATGGCACGATCTTGGCTCACTGCAACCTCCACTTCCTGGGTTCAAGCAATTCTCCTGCCTCAGCCTCCTGAGTAGCTGGGTTTACAGATGCCCACCACCAGTGGTGCTTGGCTAATTTTTTTGTATTTTTAGTAGAGACAGGGTTTTACTTTGTTGGCCAGGCTGGTCTCAAACTCCTGACCTCAGGTGATCCACCTCAGCCTCCCAAAGTGCTGGATTACAGGTGTGAGCCACCACGCCTGTCTGAAAACACTTTTTTTTTTAAAGATTAAAAAACCTTAATTGATTCATAAATTTAGAAATCTTGAGGTTTTTTACTTCATATTTACTGTGGCAATTTTTGGAGCAAACCTTCAGGCTAATAGCTTTCTTGTGCCATTTGTAGACATGTTAGTCAAACAGCAAGCCTTAAGTACATACCTCTGTGTTACTGTTTTTTATTTGAGGGACATAATTGAAAATGAGAGTACACAAGCACTTTACATCTGAAGTTTCACTCTCTGCCCAACTTGGAAGTAGCTTGTATAAGCATGAGACCATTTTGGTAGCAATGGCAGCATCTAATCCAAAGAAACGTACTTTCTGGATATTGCCTCACTTTCAAAGTCACAGATGTTTGGTTGTATATTCTGTTATGGGCCCCAAACCATGATACAAGTATTTAAAGAAGTTGTTGAAAACTTGGATCTTTTTCCACTTAATTACAAGTTGGTTGGCGTATAAAAATCAAAGCTTTGTTTAGATGTATGTGAGTGACCCTTGAGGTGGGTGAAAACAAGTCTTTCTGGGTTTTTGTTTTTGTTTTTATGTCTGTATTTTTGAAAACACAAATTACAAGGTTGTCCAAATTCCTGCCAACTGAAAATCTTTAGTAATTTATTAATGATGAGTTTCTTTGATGATCCAGATACATTTTCTCACCAGGTGTGGTAGTGCATGCGTTTAGTCCTAGCTACTTGGGAAGCTGAGATAGGAGGATGGCTTGAGCAGGGAGTTGAAGGCTGCAGTGACTATGGTCCTGTCATTGCACTCCAGCCTAAGCAACAGAGCAAGACTGCATCTCAAAGAAATAAACGAATAAAATAAGTTTTTAGGAGTTCCAGTTCTTCTGGAAGTTTTCTTTAAAAAGAAACTGATGTTACATATTTTAGTTCTGTGTAAAGTTTGGCCTGTGGGAAGGATTTTTCACTTTACTTTTCTAAGGAGAAAAAGCTGATTTGAGGAGTATTAGTAATAACACCTTTCTGCTCATCAGAAACTTGTGTAATACATAATGCTTCCATCTGTTGAAACTTGTAGGTTTTTGAAAACTTCATCATATGCAGCTTTCACAAAAGATTATATTTCATTGACACAGTATACAGTAGGGTTCATTATATAATACATCAGCTTTAGGAATGTTTTGTAGCTTACCAACTGAAAATTTGGCATTAAATTTAGTGCAAAAATGAAAATTATCAGATGTGAATAAACAGTAAACAGAAATGATTGACATTTGAGACAGAATTATAAGGCATTAAACCTTACATTTAAAATTTCAAGTTTCCAGTAAAATAAAGTCTGTTCAGTTAACATTATACAACACAATCTTTTTTCAGGGAGGCTTGTGGATCAGAATCTGAACAAAATTGGGAAAGATGAAATGCTTCAAATGATTAGACATGGGGCAACACATGTGTTTGCTTCAAAGGAAAGTGAGATCACTGATGAAGATATTGATGGTATTTTGGAAAGAGGTGCAAAGAAGGTGAGATGTAGATTAAATAATGCTTTTAATATAGAATGTTTTAGACCAGAAACAGGAAATATTTGTTACATTGATGATAAATAATTTTATTTCCCTAACAAAAAAGCTTTTGTGTACCTGAAGTTAATTTATTTTGACTGCAGGTTTCATGTTTTCTTTGTTGTGAATCTAAGAAGTTGATTGTTTTGTTCTCTAGACTGCAGAGATGAATGAAAAGCTCTCCAAGATGGGCGAAAGCTCACTTAGAAACTTTACAATGGATACAGAGTCAAGTGTTTATAACTTCGAAGGAGAAGACTATAGGGAAAAACAAAAGGTAATTTAGAAATAGGTTTGGGTTACATGAAAGCTTTATTTTACTGGAAACCTGGAATTTTAAGTGTTACTGTAATGTCTTGTAATTTTGCTTAAAACAGCAGTCATTTTTGCTTATTCACATCTGAATATTTTCATCATTATGTAAAATTTAATGCCAGTTTTTCAGTTGGGAAGCTCTGAAATATTTTTAAAGTTTTTGTAATGAAGTTTGTGGTGTATGTTTACAGTGAAATATATTCTTGTATGAGATGAATAGTAATGTGGGATGGCAACCTGATTCATTTTATTTTAAACAGCAGAAGTGGCTGGTAATAAACGGAAAATTTTCCTAACTTCATAAGTAATACTTGGTAATATAGAGATAAATTGAAAAATACCGATAGAGTATAAGAAAAAAATAATTCTACCCAATGTTTTTCGTGTTAACATTTAGGTCTATATCTTCAGAATTTTTTCTAGGCTAATTTGTGTCTACACTTTTCTCCTAGTTTAGATTTATACGAAACATTCAGTAGCGTTTCTCCCTCATTTAACAGTTGTTTCTTTAAGCAAGAAATACTGAATGCTTACACTGTTGACTGGACACTGTCTCATGTGTTAATTATATACATAATATTGAGCAAAGTATCATATTCCCCACCCTCATAGCTTATAGCCTAGGATTTTGTGAATATCTTTCCATTTACAAACATCCTTCTTGATGATGATTTGTTACTGTGGAATAAGTCGGTGATCTGAGTTGTTTCCCATGTTCTAGATTGCATTCACAGAATGGATTGAACCACCTAAACGAGAAAGAAAAGCCAACTATGCTGTTGATGCATATTTCAGGGAAGCTCTTCGTGTTAGTGAACCTAAAGCACCCAAGGTGAGTTGACTGACACAGCATAAAAATATCTAAAAGTTTTGAAAATGTAATTTTTTTCTTATATTCTTTGGAAAAGATTGATAATTACATTTTGTGTTTCTTTTTTTTTTTGAGACAGAGTCTTGCTCTGTTACCAGGAGTGCAGTGGCGCAATCTCAACTCACTGCAACCTCCACCTCCCGGGTTCAAGCAATTCTCCTGCCTCAGCCTCTTGAGTAGCTGGGACTACAGGCGCCCACCACCACCCCTGGCTAATTTTTGTAATTTTAGTAGCTATGGGGTTTTACCATGTTGGCCAGGATGGTCTTGATCTTTTGACCTCGTGATCTGCCTGCCTTGGCCTCCCAAAGTGTTGGGATTACAGGCGTGAGCCACCGCCTCTGGCCTACATTCTGTATTTCTTTGGAGTGTACTCCCTTCTGTTTTTAGTTATCATTTTTAAAAAATTAATTTTGAATCTGTGCATTTAAAATTAAGATATCAATTCAGTTTTATTGAAAGATGCATTCAGTTACTTGCAGAATTGGCTCTCATGGTTTCTGAAGTGAGGACTAAGAATACATTTAAAACAAAATTTCTTTTTTATGGATAACACTTACTTTTATTTTTCTTTAGGCTCCTCGACCTCCAAAACAACCCAACGTTCAGGATTTCCAGTTTTTTCCTCCACGTTTATTTGAGTTACTGGAAAAAGAAATTCTGTTTTACAGAAAAACTATTGGGTACAAGGTAATTGAAATTATCCACCTTTCTGTTCATTCCTATCCAGAAATTACGGAAAGTATAAACATTAGTTATAAATATTTAATTTGGACCTAGTGGGAAAAATAATTGCTTTAGCCTAGCCTAGTTGTATATGTGAAATATGTAAACTTGGGTCTGTTATTCTTTAAAAAGAAAAAATAAGACTTCATGACTAATCTAGTTTGTTTTTAATGTCATAAATGCAATGTATCAGTGTATTTTCTCTCCTGGTTGAATCGAAACTTGTGAAATGTCAGTTAGTTGGTTTATCACATGCTCTTTAAAATTTACTGATTTAATGGCATAGGAAAATATCTTTTAGGTACCTCGAAATCCTGAGCTGCCTAATGCAGCACAGGCACAAAAAGAAGAACAGCTTAAAATTGATGAAGCTGAATCCCTTAATGATGAAGAGCTAGAGGAAAAAGAGAAGCTTCTAACACAGGTATAGCCTTTAATCAGTACAAACTTTAGTAACAGTTTGTTGTAAAGGACTGTGTTAGGTTATGTTGGGGCATACACATAAATAAGTTTGTGCTTTTAAAGATGGAATAATTGGAGACAATTATGGGCATGTGGATATAAATGCTCCGTTTGATTGTCACTAGTTGAGGTAGTTGAGAAGACTATGGATTTTATTACTTTGGCCTCGGTAGAGTGGGTATCCTTTTTATCACCTTACTTTGAATGTTCCCATCTTTCCTATGAATTTTCCACATTGCTACCCAGTCACCATTTTCAATTATAAATCTTGGCTTGGTATTTTTTAAACATCCTTTGGTGTTCATCAAGGTCTTTCAGAATCTGGCCTTTGACTTACCTTTAAAGCTTTATTTTCCTTCCATTTTTCTACTTGCTCATATTTTTGCCCTTTATGTTTTTCACTCTTTCTGGCCAACTGCTAATAATCCTTCAAAGCTCAGTGAAACTGTCACCTTTTCATACAGTGTTCCTTACTCTCTCCCACTCATATTTAATTGCTTGGGTATTTGAGCAATGTATAATGTGTTGTCAAAAGTGTACATTTACGTACACGAAAAGTTACCACTCTAAAAGAACTTAATAAATAAACTAGCAGCAATTGAAAATTTGTTTTTGTAATATTTAGAAGGATTGCTAAAGTTTTCATAGCATGTTTTCCAGTTTAATGTGCTGTGATTAAATATTTTGTTTCTGTTCCTGTGAAGGGATTTACCAATTGGAATAAGAGAGATTTTAATCAGTTTATCAAGGCTAATGAGAAGTGGGGTCGTGATGATATTGAAAATATAGCAAGAGAAGTAGAAGGCAAAACTCCAGAAGAAGTCATTGAATATTCAGGTAATAATTTTAACCAGGCTGTTGGAGTTTAGTAAGAGCTGTTGGAAGGTTCTTGTTTTCTTACTCTGAATTATGTTGTGATTAACTAATTTTGTCACAACGTAATTAGTACCTTCGTTATTTTTTACAAATTAGAAAATGTCCCCTTCCCAAAAATAGCGTAATGGTTTCCTTTTAAAAAATTTTTTAACCCTAGCTAACTCTATCTACAGCAGAGAAAATCAGAATAAGTCACTGGATAATTGCCCTTGCATTTTTATCTTAATTTCTCTCCATAACTTCAAGTATTATGTGCTGTGTTTCCTGAAGTCTGTTGTATTATCAGGTTAGTATGTGAGGGTATGCTGTGGTGAGTCTGCTTAGAATAGCAGAAATTTAAGAATTAGAAGATAAATAATCTAGTTGATCCCATTTTTGTTTACACTAAAGAAATAAAAATATAAATGATTTGTTTACTTTGTCCAATTTTTACAGCTGTGTTCTGGGAAAGGTGCAATGAGCTCCAGGACATAGAGAAGATTATGGCTCAGATTGAAAGGGGAGAGGCGAGAATTCAAAGAAGAATAAGCATCAAGAAAGCACTTGACACAAAGGTAATTTGCTTGTTAATAAGTTAGGGTAGTTAATAAAATAACTCCTAGCTGAGAGTTACTTTTATATAGTGTGTTGTAGTCAGTGATACAGTCACTTAGAGAGTGACTTTTTATAAAAGGAAAAGAGGTAAGGGTTCACAATTTAAAATTTCTTTGAGTAGCATTCAAATATGGTGCTGTCAACAGAATTTACCTATATGCTAGACTAATAGATCTGAGTCAGAGGCACTAAGATTAGCTTTTTACTAAGTAGAATCAGAAAGTCTTAGTCTGTATTTCTCTTTATAATAATAATAAAGACTATAAAGGTCTTTCAGGACAAAGGTTATATAAAGCAATTGAGGTGCTCTGGATAAAAAATTCTGATTTGAAATGCAACATTTCAGCTAATTATACTAAAGCTGTGTTTGAAATACAGATTATATAGCGTTTGTATTTTATATAATACAAAATCTGACTTTCATAGATTGGACGGTACAAAGCACCTTTTCATCAGCTGAGAATATCATACGGTACTAACAAAGGAAAAAACTATACTGAAGAAGAAGATCGTTTTCTGATTTGTATGCTTCACAAACTTGGATTTGACAAAGAAAATGTTTATGATGAATTACGACAGTGTATTCGCAACTCTCCTCAGTTCAGATTTGACTGGTTTCTTAAGTCCAGAACTGCAATGGTGAGTGCTCAGGGCTTTTTTGTGTACTATAGCCAAGTTCAGAGTAAGTGTCATCTTTGGTATTCTTTAAGGTGACCTTAAAAAAATCTATGAAGTAGACATTTGTTACAATATTGTTAGTATCATAAAACCTAATAGCAGGGATAACTTACAAGTTTATTGATCCCATCCTTTAATGTCTTACATCTTTAAACGTCACTATATGGTAAGACTAGCTTTTCAAGTTCTAAGTGGGAGGAAGTATCAGTTTCAACTTCTGAGTGTTACGACTTTTTGGTTTTTCAAACGAACATATTTCTATAAAGAAAAATGGTCCTTGCATTCAGGCATCTGCATACCAGAATGCTGAGTCTGGATTATTTTAAGATGGCTTATTGTAGTAAACACTATTTTTGTACTGATTTAATGCTAGGTTTTGTTTTTATTCCCAATGTCTGGCTAACCATTTCTGACCAAATAGCCCCATTTCTAATAACCTAAAATTTGAATACAGAAAAGTTTAGCTTTGATGGATTGCTCCTTTTCTTCCTTATTTCACCACCATTGAACTTTGAGCTTCAACTTGTTTTCTGCCAGATGAGGATAATGCTAATAAGTTCTGTAGTCTTAAGTTTGGGATATTCTGGGATAAACAAAGTTTAAACATCTTTTTGTTTATAGTAAGATTTCTCTGTATGTTTAAAGTAAAATGTCACTTTGTAAGGCAGTGGATAGTAAGCAGTATTTTCGTGTTTGACCACTGAAATTTTTATTTCACTAGACATCACTATTTTGTGATACCCAGGTTTGGGAAATGTACTAAACTTAAATACATGAAGCTACTTTGAAGATAAAACACTGTGTAAATATATAATTAGAGAAAAGATCCAGTTGCTGAAAGCTTATTTCTTAAGTGGGAACAGTTATAGAGTTAATAAAGAATAATTTTATAGTGATTGTAACAAGACAGTGCCATGTTAATTTACCTAGTACAGTACCATAATTTAAAACTCTGTTACTTCTTAACATGTTCCATGTTAAGATGCACAAAAAATGATAATGTACTTTTCTATCTCTATATACTATTTCTAAGCCTTGTGTGGTGTATTCTATAGAGTAGTATTTTAAAATTATTTTACTGTAGTTGTGTGTGTAGTAGTATCACTTACTATAAGAAAAAAATAATTTTGCCCTATAAGAAAGGGAGCTGCTAACCATGCTAGCCATGCAAATGGACTTCTCTTTCTTTCAGGGTTATCTGCTACTTCTAGGTTATACTTTAAATCTTTTCTGGAGACTGTATGTCCAGTTTGCCAGAGAGAGATGAGGTAGAACTCATCGTAGACTTCCATGGCTGGTTTTCCAAAATTGGGAAAGGTGCCGTGTGATTGATTGACCACCATAATTCTAGTGATACTTTGAAGGGAAAGATTATACACACCTGTTAGAGTTCTTGTTTTTGACCCTCACATACGTACGCTATTAATCTATTTAAGTTTTGGATATGAGTAGCACAGTACTTATCAGACATAAACACTAAGTAGCAGTATTGCATATGTTATGACATGTTCATTTTTATTGCTTTAATTCCTAAGTGAAGGAAGAATTTTTGAAGAACACACAGTAGTTTGGCTTTAAAGAATGGAGTAAAAACATTATTTACAAATATCTTGCTTTTAATCTTCATAGCATGAATTGTGTATGAAAATCTTTTTTTTTAAATTAGGGTATATTAGTGGTTTTATACTATCCTATTAAAACATACTTTGTTTTAAAATTGAAATCATGAAACTTGTAGATGGAAAGTACATGTACTGTGTTTGTTTATAATTTAGGAGCTCCAGAGGAGATGTAATACCTTAATTACTTTGATTGAAAGAGAAAACATGGAACTAGAAGAAAAGGAGAAGGCAGAGAAAAAGAAACGAGGACCAAAGCCTTCAGTAAGTATTCATGAATATGTAAATATGTGGATAATGTAAATTTCTCCTTTCTAAGTATTTAACACTGCTTGGCTGTCATTGATGTGTTAGTCCCTGTTGTGCACCCCATCCATTGCCTTTAATTTTTTTTTTTCCCTTAAGGGGGAACCCAAAGTCATAATTTGAGATTCTTCCACTTTCAAATTTAAGTAGTGGTATAAATTTTTTATTTTTAGTTGTTATGAGTAGGTATATGTATTTATAGGTTACGTGAGATATTTTGATACAGACATGCAATAAGTAATAAGGACATCGGGGTAAATGGGGTATTATCATCTCCAGCATTTATCCTCTGTTACAATTTAACTCTTAGTTATTTTAAAATGTATAATTAAATTATTTATTGCTGTAGTCACCCTGTTGTGCTATCAAATACTAGGTCTTAAGTCATTCTTTGTATTTATTTATATCCATTAGCCAGCCCCACTTTCCCCCACCCCACTACCTTTCTCAGCCTCTGATATCCATCCTTGTACTCTCTGTCTCCATGAGTTTAAATTATTATAATTTTTAGCTCCCACAGATAAGTGAGAATATGCCAAGTTTGTCTTTCTGTGCCTTGCTTATTTCACTTAACATAATAAACTCTGGTTCCATCCATGTTGTTGCAAATTATAGGGTCTCATTGCTTATGGTTGAATAGTATTCTGTTGTGTATACATACCATGTTTTCTTTATCCATTTGTCTGTTGATGTACACTTAGGTTGTTTCCAAATCATGGCTACTGTGAATAGTGCTGCAGTAAACATGAGAGTGCAGATATCTCTTTGATACACTGATTTTTTGGGGGGTGTATACCTAGGAGTTGGGATTAGTGTATTGTAGGGTAACTATATTTGTAGTTTTTTGAGGAACCTCCAAATTGTTTTCACAGTGATTTGCATTCCCACCAACAGTATATGAGGGTTCCCTTTTCTTCACATTCTTGTCAGCATTTGTTATTGCCTGACTTTTGGATAAAAGCCATTTTAACTGGGGTGAGATGTTACCTTATTGTAGTTTTGATTTGCATTTCTCTGATGATCAGTGATATTGAATAGCTTTTAATATGCTTGTTTGCTATTTGTATGTCTTCCTTTGATAAACATATGTTCAGATCTTTTGCCTATTTTTAAATTGGACTGTTAGGATTTTTTTCAGTAGAGTTGTTTGAGCTCTTAAATATTCTGGTTATTAATCCTTTGACAAATGGGTAGTTTGCAGATATTTTCTCCCATTCTGTGGGATGTCTCTTCACTTTGTTGATTGTTTCCTTTGCTGTGCAGAAGCTTTTTAACTTAATGTGATCCCATTTGTCCATTTTTGCTTTGGTTGCCTGTGGGGTATTATTCAAGAAATCTTTGCCCAGTCCAGTGTTCTGGAGAGTTTTCCCAGTGTTTTCTTGTAGTTTCATAGTTTGAGGCCTTGGAATTAACTCTTTAATACATTTTGTTTTGATTTTTGTATATGATTAGGGATGGGGTCAGGTTTCATTCTTCTGTTTGTGGGTATCCAATTTTCCCATTACCATTTATTGAAGAGACTGTCCTTTCTCCAGTGTATATTCTTGGTACCTTTGTCAAAAATGAGTTCCCTGTAGATATATGGACTTATCTCTGGATTCTCTGTTCTTTTCCACTGTTGCACTGATCTATGTATCTGTTTCTATACCAGCACCATGCTGTTTTGGTTACTATAGCTCTGTGCTGTAAGTTAAGTCAGGTAATGTGATTCTTCCAGTTGTATTCCTTTTGCTTAGGGTGGGTTTGGCTATTTCTGAGTGTTTTGTGGTTCCATATAAATTTTAGTGGTTTTTTTTTTTCTATTTCAGTGAAGAATGCCATTGGTATTTTGATAAGGATTGCATTGAATCTGTGGATTGCTTTGGGTGGTATGGACATTTTAACAGTACTGAATTTTCTAATCCATGAACATGGAATATCTATTTTTTTGTGTCTTCAATTTCTTACATCAGTGTTTTGTAGTTTATCGTAGAGATCTTTCGCTTCTTTGATTAATTCCTGGGTATTTTATTTCATATGTAGTTACTACTATTTATTTTTCACATTTTTCACTGTTGGCATAGAAATGCTACTGTTTGTTGTATGTTGATTTTGTATCCTGCAGTGTCACTGAATTTGTTTATGAGTTCTAATAGTTTTTTGATGGAGTGTTTAGGTTTTTCCAAATGTAAGATTATGTCATTTACAAATAGGGCAATTTGACTTCTTTGTTTCCAATTTAGATGTCCTTTATTTCTTTCTCTCGTCTGATTGCTGTAACTAGGACTTCCTTGAAATACTTAAAAAGTACAAATTTAGCTTGACTGGGTTGTGTGGGAAAAAAATCACATCTTGATGATATGGTAGTCCTTAATATGGGGCTTCATAAAAATCTGGGAATGTATGTCTCGTAAATGCCAAGTGTGTACACATCTCATTGGGAATACAAGTTATAATTTTAGAATAGGAAACATTGGAGGCCGGGCGCGGTGGCTCAAGCCTGTAATCCCAGCACTTTGGGAGGCCGAGATGGGCGGATCACGAGGTCAGGAGATCGAGAGACGATCCCGGCTAACACGGTGAAACCCCGTCTCTACTAAAAAAATGGCACGGTGGCTCACGCCTGTAATCCCAGCACTTTGGAAGGCCGAGGCGGGCGGATCACAAGGTCAGGAGATCGAGACCATGGTGAAACCCCGTCTCTACTAAAAATAGAAAAAATTAGCCGGGCGCAGTGGCGGGCGCCTGTAGTCCCAGCTACTCGGGAGGCTGAGGCCGGAGAATGGTGTGAACCCGGGAGGCGGAGCTTGCAGTGAGCCGAGATTGCGCCACTGCACTCCAGCCTGGGCGACAGAGCGAGACTCCGTCTCAAAAAAAAAAAAAGAAAATAGCCGGGCGAGGTGGCGGGTGCCTGTAGTCCCAGCTACTCGGGAGGCTGAGGCAGGAGAATGGCGTAAACCCGGGAGGCGGAGCTTGCAGTGAGCTGAGATCCGGCCCCTGCATTCCAGCCTGGGTGACAGAGCAAGACTCCGTCTCAAAAAAAAAAAACAAAAAAAAAACAAAAAAAGAATAGGAAACATTGGAAAAGCAGTGGTATTATGACTTTTACTGTTAGTCTCTAAGCTTTGATTGATTGTTTCAGTGATGTTTTAGCAACGTGAAGGCAAATACTTTAAGGGAAAAAATGTTATTTAATAATAGTTAATTTAATAAAAAATGGTTACTTTATAAAGTCATGAGTAAATGAATATCTCTGGATAATATTTCATATTTATGTAACTGCCTTTTAAAAACTCAGGTGTTTCTTATTACTCTTTTGGGAAGTGTGCATTTATTTGATGCTGATTTACTACTGTTAATTGTGCATTATTTTTATAATGTCATTATTAACATTAAACTTTTTTATTCTGTAAGTAAAATAAGTAGGTAAGATTATTTCGAGGCTTTATAGTTTGCTTTGAAAGATTTATATAGCCTGGGAGAAAAATCTCATATACCTATTACTTTGTAGTAGTTGTTATTACTAAAGTGTTATAATGTGTCTGCAACTATATTTCATGTTTATATGAGTCTTGTGAAAAGTAATCCTTTTGTCTGTTTGTAGACACAGAAACGTAAAATGGATGGAGCACCTGACGGTCGAGGAAGAAAAAAGAAGCTGAAACTATGAATATGTTTTTGTTTCATAATCACTAACTTTAAACCAGTAGTTCTTTAATTTACGGGTCTTCATAAGATGTACTGTACAATGCTCAATTGTTATGTCATTTAAAGACATCAGGTTCATCTGTTTACTGAGCTAGAAACATAGTATGTAGTTTCACTTTTTTAAATGCAACAGCTGTGCTGAAATTTTTTTATCATTAACACTTGAAGTAATAAAATAGGCTTCATTTATTACTAAGTGTTTCATTTGATTTATTTTTCTGTTGTAGTTCCATTTGTGAAGATTGTGACTTTTTGTTTATTAGCTATAATTTCTATACTTGTAAGGTTTAAAAACAAGTTAAAAAGAAAATTGCAAATAACATTTGTCCCTTTCAGTCTTCATTTAGTTGTATAATTATTTTAATTCACTTTGCCTTTGCAGAAATTTGGGTATTTTCTTTGTAGTGCTATTGAGTCTCATCTGGAAAGATTATATAAATTGCATTCTCCTTGCTTATGTGGGTAGAATGGGAAGAGAAGGCAAGACAAAGTATACTTAAATTCTATGCATATTTCTGTTATGCTTTCTGTTTTTTTAGTTGATTCTGAAATGAATACGCCCTATTCTTTTGAAAGAATGGCCTTTTAGTTGTATAGCCAAAGACATTTAGTATTTTCCGGTTCCTTAAGGTATTACTGTACCATTTTGTAAAAGGAATATTATTATTATTATTTTTAATTATTTGGTAAATATTTTGTCATATGACCTTCTGAAGCAGCCACAACTTAGATAATGTCAGAACTAAGGTGATTTTTTTTTTTTAATTTTGAAAGAACCAGCCAAAATGAGGTGTGAATTTGTCATACTGTTACATTGAAATTGGTAACAAAATGTATCCCCTCCCATTTTGAGTTTTAGGGTAAATGAAAATTTTATTGTATTTTAAAGTAATTTCTAAGTGTTAGCAAGACTGACTGTAATTCCAGTTTCTGTTTTCTATGGACAGACTTGATAAACTGGAGACCCTAAAGCAGGAATACCCAAATTATAGTGTCAGGATTTTAGCTGTACCAGAGGCCTTTATGTGCTACACATAATTTGTATAAAATTTTATATGTGCAGATTGGGTACATAAACAGTTCTCCATTTTTCTAAGGGAATGCAATAAATGTAGCATCGTGAATAAATATAACTTTTATAATCTGTAAAGTGGTCTTTCCATTTCTTTAATTTTTTTCTCAATTTTTATTCACTTTTTCCTTTAGGACACATTTCCCTTAATTGGATATCTTTCCCTTAAATTTCTATTAGTAGTTGTTTTCATCTGCCCACATGTAATTGAAGATTTTTAAAAAAATTTGATACCTGCAGTATTACTAATACTGCTTAATTTCTTGAAATGTGGAATTGCTGCTGTTAATGTCAAGCAAAACGTAGTGTTAAATTGTAATTTGAATTTAGTGCTCCCTCAAAATTAACTTTTTAAATACTGTGTTAGATTCTTAACAGTTAAAGGTCTAATACATGTGTGAGGAATGGTTACCTTTTTCATGAAAGGAAGAATTTGTACGAGTTATGACCTCAGTTTGGAAGAAATTGAAAAAATGTAAGGCTGAAGAAAACTTAAACGGAGGTCACAAAAGTGATGTTTTCAAGAAGAGAAACTGGGAGGGAGATACACAGGGGAAATGCAAAATGAATCAAGTGTAGTGCTAGCCCTGAATGCTTAGGGACTCAAATGGAAACTGTGTGAAGGGAAACTAACTCGAAAAAAGCGTGAACTAGCTAGGCCCTGCCACTGTGTTTGACCGAGTTCACAAATCTGTTTTAACCTGTCGCTTCCCTGTCACCTCTGGCTTTCCTCTCCTGCTAAGCTTTGTTTCCTGGCAGTGATTAAAATCTTCTGTCAGTGCCACAGCTACTACTGCTGCTGGAACTGCCATAGCCACCTTGGTATCATGGTTTGGCAAGGTATTGGCCTCTACCACCATAGGGGCCAGAGCTTCTGCCTCCAAAGTTTCCTCCCTTCATGGGTCCAAAATTTGAAGACTGATTGTTGCCATTGCCAAAATCATTGTAGCTTCCACCACCTCAAAAATTGCTTCCATCATTACCATATGTATTATAGCAATCCCCACTGCCACCATATCCACCACGACCACCATGGCTGCCACCAAAGCTACCACGATCACAGAACTTGATGGCTGTATTTGTGACTAATTATATAATAGATTAGTCTCTGTTCTGTGGAAAGTATAAAGCATTCCAACACACGGCTTCAATGCAGAATTTTTTGTTTTGTTTTGTACCCATGCTGTTGATTGCTAAATGTTTTAATAGTCTAGTCATGATACTGAATAAATGTCTTTTTTTTTTAATTTAACAAAGCATGAAAGATTGCTTAATTGTACATCTGACAAAGTGCTGGTGGCTCTTATAAAGTATAATTACTATTACTACCTTTTAAGAGACAGGGTCTTGCTCTGTCACCCAGGCTGGAGTGCAGTGGTGCGATCACAGCTCACTGCAACCTCAAACTTCAGGGCCCAAGTGATCCTCCCACCTCAGTTTCCCAAGTAGCTAGGACTACAGATGTGCACCACCATGCCCAGCTAAGTTTTTTTAGTTTTTGTAGAGATGGGGCCTTGCTATGTTGCCCGGTCACGTCTCAAATGCCGACCTCAGGCACTCCTCCCTCTTGCCTCTCCCTCCCAAAGTGCTGGGATTACAGGTGTGAGCCTACATTCGGAAGTGCTGGGATCACAGGTGTGAGCCTACACCACACCTGGCCTACATTTTAATTTTTTCATAAAGTTGAGAGAAGCAAATCCTAAGCATAGAGTACAGGTTGAGCATCCCTAATCAAAAAATCGAAAATCGGAAATGCTCCAAAATTGGAATGCTCAAAGGAAATCCTTATTTAGGGCATTTCTGATTTTTGGATTAGGGATGCTGAACTGATAAGTATAATGCAAGTATTCTAAAGTCTGGACAATGCTAAAAACTGCTGGTTCCAAGCATTTCAGATAAGGATTGCTCAATTTGCCCTTTGAGTATTTAATATATGCTGATTGTTTAAACTGATCAAGATTTAATTACATAAATGATCTTTGGCTTAGTGCCTTTCTTAAAAATTTCAATTTTAAAAAGCATTATGAAACACCCCTGTGGTTTTTCAGAAAAAATTGAGTGAAAAAGAAATTTCATCTTGTTCTATCCCTTTTAATCTAAAAACAAATCTTTTTGAAAGAATGTGCTACTATATTTCAAGCCAGTTGTTTTGGAGTAGAACATTGCTAAAAAAACAGGTACTAAGGAGGGTAATTTAAACAAAGTAGATTAATGACACAAGGATTGATGAACTCATAAATCCTAATGAATGGAATGCTAGAAGACATGTATTAACAGTAGAAACTTTGAGGTACATAGCTGTTACCAAAATATATCCTTGCTTGTTGGAATCTGACGTGAAGATCAAAGGTGATGGCATCCCACAGATGACAGATAATGGGCAAAATATATTCTTGGTGTGGAGCAGTGCTGCCGAATTAACTTCCCTGTGTACATCCCAGAATCATTTTGGATCTGCTAAGGTTTTTATTAGAATGATTTAATAGGCTTTTGCAGGATTAACTTCACAGTAGTTACCAGAAAAGGCTATGCTACAAGAATGAAAACTGAAGAACAAAGACCGAAATGATATGATTCTAAATGAAAAAAATAAAGAAGTGGAATAGTTTCTCCAAAGGCATAGGAGGCAAAGCATTGTTTCAGAAGTGGACTGGCACCTCACCTGAGATACTCAAGACTGGCAACATGGGTCTTCATTCTTTGTTATCACTGAGGTTGTGTCCTGAGAGATTCCCTAGCTCTAATGACAGATTTTGGCGGGGGGGGGGGGGGCGGGTAATGAGGCTATGAGAAGATTGAGGATCTAGGTGCTTGCCTCTAATTCTACAGCATAAAGGTGTGTCGCTCTTATCTCTAGGACACCAATATTTTTAATGTTGCATATCATGTATCTCCAGTACGAGAAGAAAGTTTATCAGAATTTAGTTAATGTTGGAAACTTTGTAATACAAACAATGTAAACACTACATTGACAAAAATATTAATAATTATGCATATAGTTTGCTTACTATAGAAATTCTTGTTTTTGATGTTGGATACAACCCAAAGGAGTTTTTATGTATAGAGATGGTGAATAAATTGGGAAAAGAAATAGAGATAAGCAGAGATTATTTCATTTCGTTAAACTTTTGAAGTCCTAATTTAGTTCATGTGATTATTTGTAAATTTTTCTTTATTAGTCTTCCTCAATCATTGAAGAACCCAGGATTCAAATACAATACTTAATGGAAACACTTTTTCATCCCTAACTAAATCCTGCCCTGAAAGCAGAATTCACTGTGAAATCTGAGATGAAACCCCAGGGCTATTATGCTGGCCAGTGGAAGGTTGGTTGACCCCTCAAGAGGTGACATTAGGGTGGTCTGCAGACATCACTGGAGTGGACAAAGAGATGCCTGGGCGGCTGGGGAAAGGATAGATCATAGACAACAGCAGCCTCTTTCTAGAGCTCAGTTGCAATAAACACCACGGTTACTCATCAGACACACTGTAAGTTCTACTTCTTCCCGTATTTCAAAACTCTAGAGAATTCTAGCGTGGACTAAGCACTGCTTCTGTAGACCATGGGTATTTCTCCATGGCTGTTTGAATTTTGGGGAAAGCTTCTGTGTCTCATGCAGACTGGTGACTTTTGAGACAGAATCTTACTCTTGTCACCCAGGTTGGAGTGCAGTGGTGCGATCTAGGCTCACCACAACTTCTGCAACCTCTGCCACCCGGGTTCAAGCAATTCTGGCTCAGCCTTCTGGATAGCTGGGACTACAGGCATGCACCACCACACCTGGCTACTTATTGCATTTTTAGTAGAGAGAGGGTTTCACTATGTTGGCCAGGCTGGTCTCGAACTCCTGGCCTCAAATGATCTGCCTGCCTCGACCTCCCAAATGTTGAGATTACAGGTGTGAGCCACTGCATCTGGCCTGATGCAGAGGGATAATTTCTTGAGCGAGGCAGTGCTGTTGTCTAGAAGCAAGACTTAGCTGGGTGAGACAGTACTAGCTGCCTTCAGAAGAGGATCTCTGCCCTGAAGTTTACCACCAGCCTGCTTTCCTTGATGCGCATGCTGGCTGGGTGTAGGGATGCTGAGTGGAGGGAAAAAGAAGAATATAGATGATACAGATTTACTGTGCAAAGGCGGAGTTCTTACCGGCTCTTCCTCACAAACAGGCTGGTGATTAGCTGACTTTCAGACTCCTTTCTACAAGGTGGCGAGGGGCCATCTGGTCATCCTAGCTTTGCAAGGAATAACTTTTTTTTTTTCTTTCATTTTGTATTCCCTTTAATCCCAGTAGATGGATAGGTCTGCTTTCCTAGTATGCTTTCCAGTTGTAGAAAGGTCTTTTCTCTGGTTACTGGCTTTCCCCCAGCCCCCTATTTTTTGTGCTCCCCCTCTTCCCCAGTCACCTCTTTCCCTGGGAGCAAACTTGAGAAAATTAATGGCACAGGTCTTGCAGAATACTCCTACCAATCTAAGTGCTGCAGATGCCACAGTGCTTTCTTACCCATAATAGTCATAAGTTAGAGGGAGCTCCTTCAAGAGCACGCTGAGTTTAGTTTCTTCATAGCAGGAATTAATCTTAAAAAAATTATCTTTGGGCTCCTTATTGTACCTGGACAGTACTGGGACTGGGTGCTTGATAAGAGAATGAATAGTTTAGGTAGTTACAGTGAAACCACAGGCACCTGTAGAGGTCTCCCCAGGCTCACCTTGAAGCTCTGATTGGAGGCTGCAGACGAATGGCGGTGTTATGAACAAAGGTGAGCTGCAGCTCCCACTGCAGGTCAAACGCTGCCAGCTACCAGCTGCAGCTGGGAGTGAAAGACTAGAATACAGAGAGGCACAGGCAGTCACTTAGGACGGGGCCGGGTTTAACCTGAACAGTGGTGCTAGAAGGTCAGAGTCTTCTAGGTATGTGTTGGAAACATCCTTGATTGTCTAGCACCAAGACTTTTAAACACAGGGGAACAAATCATCCCTTTGGGTATTTGTAATTGTTCCTCAGTTCAAATCTCTTGGTTTTTAAAAAATACTTTTCCTCGGCGCGACCGGTGCATCACGTCGCGCGCGACCAGTCCGC